TGAACATTTCATTTGACAAACATCATGTTCTTTTCTCATACTCAAAAGAAAACAAAGATCATCTGTAATGGCCATTATCTTTAGAGAATTATACAGGAAAATAAAAACATCAAAAAAGGTAAATAATTCTCAACAAAACAGTGGAGAAGAAAACAATGCTACACATATAGACATATGCAATTCAGACATTTAGGTAACTTTCCCACTGGAGAAAAAAACCCTAACACCTACTAACATCTGCCTTTTTCATTTAAAGGGAAAGGTTACAGTCAGCTTTCACTCTAGGGACAAATGACTCTGCAGTAGTCATGAGTATTTATCAAGTCCAGCTCCAGTTGACTTCTATGGGCAGTGATGGAAACATGACACCCAGGTAGATGCCCTAATTTCACTCCTTTGCCAGCACAATGCAGTGACAGGCTGCCACCACATACCATCTGTCTTCATCCAAGCAGCACTAAATCATCGTTTAAAATTAAGGCAGCGCCAAGTTTAAAAGAGAGACTGAATAAGTGTGAGATGTAAGGGCTCATTATGCTCCCTTTACGTACGAAAATGTATACGTACGTTTCAAATGATGTTACTGTCACTGCCCACATACTTCGCGCTCTTTACACTGGCATGGATGTTAACCAATATATCCACCAGGGGGCAGCCCAGTGTCTAAAGTTTATGACAACAACAAACTCAAAAACAAACATGGCGACTGTGGAGGAGATATTGATAATGTACCTCTTGCATAAAAGACAAAAACAGGGGCAGCGTTGTAGGAGGCGGTGGTCGGTGAGGCCGTTAAATACATCGCGACTGGAGGACGGAGAATTCTTTTCTCTAGTACTGCCGATGAGAGAAATTGAATTGTTATTTCTTCTTCGTGTCTCACTAGAGCTACGTATCGGGTAGTGACATCAACACTGCCCCCACGGTTCCCGGTGGTACTGCTCCGTTTAGCCCGTATCTGTAAGCTTTATGGAAACGTGCAGAAATACGGATGAAATGAATGCGGAGCACAGACAGAAGGCTCCATCCGTATCCGGATCCGTTTTTAACGTTGAGCATAAATTAGCCTTAAGAGTGATATTTTTGTTGGCCTCCATGCTGCTTTCTACTGTTTAGTGACCTCTTTTCTGGGACATTTGTGACATTGAAAGTGACACACTAGTAGAAAATAAATGTGTCTTTGAGTATCCTGAAAGACACTATATAAATCCAATGTACTATTATTATTATTATTAAATGTAAGGCGTACTTGTCTACTGCAGAGCTGTGCACACTACTGGCAGTGGGAAAGGATTGTGTTGCCTTTTTTTGAGGGGTTTTACCACTGAAAAAAAACATGCATATACGTGCTTATTAATAATAAAGCCTGAAGCATCAGTACTGTCGCTATGGTTACCTACAGTTTAATATTGTCAAAAAAAATCGATACTTGGATTAGTATCGATACTAAAACTTAGTACAGACACACACACATACACACAACAGAGTGACGTCAGACATCAGCAGAGAGGCAGTGGTGCAGACGAAGGGAATATAACTTACTCTACTTGACGACAACTACGGTTGTTACTGTGAGAGTGCAATAAAACCTCTGCCAGTAAAAAGCCAATACTTTATCAACAGTGTTGGGAATGTTACTTTAAAAAAGTAATTAGTTATAGTTACTAGTTATTTTCCCCAAAAGTAACTGAGTGACTAACTGAGTTACAGCACTGTAAAAGTAACTAATTACCTGGAAAAGTAACTATAGCCTTACTTTTTTTAAAATACTCCATCCATCCATCCACTTATCCAGGGCCGGGTCGCGGGGGCAGCAGGCCGAGCAAAGCATCCCAGACATCCCTCTCCCGCTTTCCAGCTCCTTCTGGAGGACCCCGAGGCGTTCCCAGGTCTAGGGATGTAACCATTACTGATATTATGGTAAATTTTGGTAAATTTTTACACGGTAAGAATTACCATTTATGTTTAAATTAATTGCATTATCGCGGTGGATTATCAGGACATGTAATAACAGCCTCATTCAAGTCTCGCGATGCAGGCGCTGCGTGAAGGCGTAGCATGTGTGAACACAAAGAATGAAAACATGGCGGAAGGTGGTGATAGCTGCACGCAGGACATTTTCCCCCCCTACTAAACACACAAAGTCTGAGGTCTGGGCGTACTTTGGGTTTCTGAAGAATGCCGAGGGACAGCTGGTGGAGGACAACCATCCTGTGTGCAGAACACGCAGAAAGAAAGTTGCTGCGAAGGGTAGCAACACTACAAATCTACTGGCTCATCTCCGTGACCATCATCCACAGCTTTACAGCCAATGCAAGTTATGCTATGCAAACGTCAGTTATTGTGTGAGGGACTTCGGTTTTACTGAGATGTGTAACTCGCGACGTATATGAGACATTTGAGCTGTATCTGTCCTCCTAAACGGCGACTAGGTTTTCCGTTTTCGTTTAAGACACTTAGGAGCTAATACTAGCTGAGTAGCTAATAGCTAATAGTATTAGCAGCTATGTTGCGAAGTGTTTCAAAACGAAATGGAGCTGAAAACACTGAGCGGAGCCGACAGAATATAAACCGACGTAACGTAACGCTAATTAAGATCAACTATGATTGAATCACTGTGATTATGGTTATTGTATGGCGAGCTAGAATCGATACAGACGGCCAGCTTTCTCGACATAAGCTCAAGGAAACAACATAAAACGCTGCCGTGTTAACCTTTGACTGAGAGCCTTAATGGGGGCTCTCGGTTTTATAAGGTTAATTAAATTCACTGCTCACAGTCTTGACCTAACACACACACACACACACGAGAGCATGCACTCCTTTTCTCAAACAGGCACTGACTCCTCTGACTCACATGCACATTTCTAATGTGTGAATTATTCTGTGTAATGATGACCATTGCCCTTAGGGTTTTTTTGGTTTCTCCTGCACATTTGTGATATCTATTGTATATATTGTATGTTTTTTGTTCTACTCTTGCATTGTTTTGTTTAATATATATTTTTCCTCTTGTGCTAATAATATATAAATTGTTTACATATTTTGCTGACTGTTATGATGCACCAGACAAATAAGCTTTGTTCCTGTAATGTGTTTACATATTTTGTTCATTTAAAATAAAATTTTCTGTTGCTGTGCCAATCCCTTGCCCCTTTAATGTGAAAGTTTCATTTTAATATAAGATTTTGGCTGTTAACATTTTGGTATGATAAGGAAGTTACAAGATTTAGTGAAGTTATTTCAATATATCTATTTTTTGGACATTTTACAGCGCTTGAAAAAGTATCGCGATATTATCGTTTACCGTGATAATTTGGTCATTATAATCGAGATATCAAATTTTCCATTTCGTTACATCCCTATCTAGGTCAGATGAGATATGTAATCCCTCCAGCAAGTTCTGGGTCTGCCCTGGGGCCTCCTACCGGTGGGACGTGCCCGAAACACCTCCAGTCGAAGGCGCCCAGGAGGATCCTGTTCAGATGCCTGAACCACCTCAACTGACCCCTTTTGACCTGAAGGAGCAGCAGCTCTACTCCGAGCTCCCTCCAGATATCCAAGGTCCTCCCCCTATCTCTAAGGCTGAGCCCAGACACCCCACGGAGGAAACTCATTTCCACTGCTTGTATCTGTGACCTCATTCTTTCAGTCACTACCCAGAGTTCATGACCATAGGTGAGGGCTGGGACGTAGATGGACCAGTAAATCAAAAGTTTTGCTTTTGGGCTCAGCTCCCTCTTCACCACAACGGACTGGCGCAGCGCCTGCATGACTGCAGAAGCTGCCCCGACCCACTGACCCATCTCATGCTCCACTCTACCCTCACTCGTGAACAAGACCACGAGATACTTGAACTCCCTCGCTTGAGGCAGTAACTCTCCCCCAACCTGGAGAGGGCAAACCACGGATTATAAAATGCTAAAATATGTCAAATTGCTTGGACACCCCCCTTAATGGAACTGTATGTAATGAAACTCAGCATTGAATATGTTGTGTGTGTGTGTGTGTGTGTGTAAGAACCTCCATTAATTGACTGACCGTCACCTGTGTGTGCGGAGAAGGAGAGGGGCGGAGAGAGCGGAGCTGTGGAAACATCCTGCAGTCCGACATACTATCATGTGTTTAAATAACTTACTAGACGGATATATAGAGAGATAGGCGGCGTTTAGAGAACAAGCCCAAATAAGCAACTCCACTTTAGAAACAAGCCCAAATAAGCAACCCGCGACTACCAATATTTGTAAGTGACTTTACAAAAAAACAAGCCCACACAGCAACCCTGCTTGTGTGCTTGGGAATACCTGCCCTACTCTGCCTCTGACTGGTTTATGATGACATTTTACTCTCCCTAAGCCAATCATCATGACTTATGCTTCCCCCTCACCTGCCCTCAGCAAAGAAAAAGAAACTTTAGAGCTCCGCTGAGAAGGAGCTGGTTTGGTTGAAAGCTGCTTCAGTGAACTCAAGTAAAGCCGAGTATCGGCACATTTTATTGTGATAATGGTAACGCCGTTATAACGGGGGAGACAGTAACTTTTTTGATTACTCGTTACTGAAAAAAGTAGCGCCGTTAGTAACACTATTTCTTCATAACGCCGTTATTCCCATCACTGTTTATCAGTACATGTGATCAGCATGTAGAAAGCCATATTTTAATCTGCTCTGTCAGCAGTCTCTCATTCACCACTGTTATGGTTTACTATTGAAGTTTACACAAGCACATCGCGCTCACAGGGCCAACAGCAAACTCTTAAAGACAAACTAAAAATGAAATATATCTGTCTATCTATCTATCTATCTATACATACATGTATGCTAAAAAAAAGTGGATGGGTTGCTTGCTGCTAAAAATGTGGCACATCAACATTATCTGGTTTTAAAATCTGGCCCAGTAATCTGTAATTGAATAGCCCTGACCTAAAGATTGTGTTGTTGCTGTTATTTTTGTGATGTTTTATAAATAAAAAAAGCAATATATGGCTGTAATTTTGTTTTGTTTTTTTTTTCTGTAGTATTGAAAATAGTACTGAGTATCAAGTTTGATATTTTAGTATCGTGACAACACAACAGGCTCCTGATTTTGACACCTGACAGCCAATGAGAAGTATTAAAGGCCAAACACACCGGCGCCGTACGACACACGTCAAAACAGACGCCCCCATTATTCTCTATTTACAAACCCACACCGACAGCATGTTGATGCGCGTCTATTGTCCTATTTTCCAGTGTCGCTGCCCTTGAAAAAGCACTTCTTTTTCAGAGAAAAGCCTATTTTGTACTTCCCAGCTCCCGTAGTAGCAGCTCTGTTGAAGAGAAGAGAAGCAGAACTTTGGCGCCATCTATTGTTTGTTAATTGGTACCGTTGTTGTCTGGTTGTCATGGTCGTGGTTGTGGTCGTCCTGCGTTGTGTGTTTTCTTTCTCTTCCTGTGTCTTCTTCCTCGTCTTTTGTTATAATTGGCAGTTGGCAGCCAGCTAGTGACATTACTGCCACCTAACAGAGTGGAGTGTGCGATAGAATTCCGGTTGACGCCCCGCAGCGTGACACTTGCTGTGTGTGTTGGGGGTGGCACTTGACTCGCGACAATGATGCTGCCGTCATGTGGCGAGGCCGGTGTGTTTTGGACTTTACAGTATGTCACCATGATAAACATTACAGTGTAGTCCACTGCAAATTATCACAGTGAAGTCTCTGCTTCTTTAAAGTTTCAGTTATTGAAACCAAATAATTCCAGAATGAATGAAGTACATCTGAAACTGCTCTGCTGTTGTGACATGAATCATAAAATGCGACACCTTGATGGGTCGACCTGTGTCACAAGTTCCTGTATCAAGTCACTTATTTGACTTTCATGTGTTTTCTGCAGGTCCTTCTTTTCCTCTTCATTTTTCACTCTCTTCATTTCTTTTTCGTGTTTTTTCAGTAATTCTTTGATTTTTTTCAGATTTTCTCTCCTTTTGGTCACACATTTCACCAAATCACAAATTTCACCTTGATGTTTTTTCTTCAGTTGTTCTTCACTGCTGTCTGAACGAGCCTTTAAGAGTTCATACTGCTGCTCTTTGTCTTCCATTTGTTTCTCGTGCTCTTGTTTCTGAGCTGCAGATTCCTTCTTGTATTTCTCTTTGAATTCATTGAACTCTTCAGCTTTCTTTCTGGCCTCCTCTTCATGTGTCTTCATCAGATTCTCCATTTTCTTCTTATAGTTCTCCTCCATGTCTTTTCTCTCTTTCTCCTCTTGTTCTCTTCTGAGTCGGTCCTCTTCATTTCTCTTCTTTTCGTATTTTTCTCTCTCCTGATCGTTTAGTTCCCGAAGCTTTTTCAATCTTGTTTGTTCTTCCTGTCGTCTCCGTTTATTTTCTTGTATTCGTTTCTCCCACGATTCTTTTCTTTCTTTCTCCCAGTTCTCTCGTTCTTTCCTCATCTCTTCTCTGCTCTCCTCCAGCTTTCTGTCCTTTAATTCTAACTCTAACTTTAATTTTTGCTCCAAAGCTTCAACTTTTTGTTTCCACTCCTGTCGTTGAATTTCTTCCTGTTGTTTTCTCTTCCTGTCTTCTTCTTCTCTCATCTCCTGTTCTTTCTTTCTCTCTTCATACTCCTTCTTTATCTTCTCCTCCTTTTCTTCAAATAGTTTTTCTTTGAGTTTTCTCTCCTTTTCAGTTTCTGCTCTCTGTTTTACCTCTTTGTCTTTTCTCTCTTTTTCCTCTTGTTCCCTTCTGATTCGTTCCTCTTCCATTGTTTTCTTCAAACATTTTTCCCTTTGTTCATATTTTTCTTGAAGCTTTTTCAGTCTTGTTTGCTCCTCCTTTTGTCTCTGTTCATTTTCTTGATCTCGTTTCTCCCACCATTCTTTTTGTTTTCTCTCCCAGTCGTCTCGTTCTTTCCTCATCTCTTCTCTGCTCTCCTCCAGCTTTCTGTCAATAGTTTCCTTTGATTCTGACTCTGATCTTATTTTTTGCTCCAAAGCTTCAACTTTTTGTTTCCACTCCTGTCGCTGAATTTCTTCCTCTTGTTTTCTCTTTCTGTCTTCTTCTTCTCTCATTTCCTGTTCTTTCTTTCTCTCCTCATGTTCCCTCTTTATCTTCTCCTCCTTTTCCTGAAGTAGTTTTTCTCTCTGTTTTCTCTCCTTTTCAATTTCTGCTTTCTGCTTTTCCTCCTTGTCTTTTCTCTCTTTCTCTACTTGTTCTCTTCTATTTCGGTCCTCTTCATTTTTCCTCTTTTCATATTTTTCTTTTTCCTGTTCAAACTCTTTTTGAAGCTTTTGAAGTCTTATTTGTTCTTCCTGTCGTCTCTGTTCATCTTGTTTTCGTTTTTCCCACCATTCTTTTTGTTTTCTCTCCAAGTTCTCTCGTTCTTTCATCATCTCTTCTCTGCTCTCCTCCAGCTTTCTGTCCTTTGATTCTGACTCTAACTTTAATTTTTGCTCCAAAACATTAAGCTTTTGTTTCCACTCCTGTCGTTGAATTTCTTCCTGTTGTTTTCTCTTCCTGTCGTCTTCTTCTCTCATTTCCTGTTCTTTCTCTCTCTCCTCACGTTCCTTGTTGATCCTCTCCTGCTTTTCCTCAAGTTGTTTTTCTCTCAGTATTCTCTCCTTTTCAATTTCTGCTCTCTGTTCTTCCATTCTTTTTTTCATCTCTTGCATTTCTTCCTCATGTTTTCTTCTCAGCTCCTCCCTCTCTCTCTTCATCTCTTCTTCCTTCTCCTTCAGGATCCTCTGCACTTCATTCTTTATAGCTTCCTCGGCCTCTTGCAGCATCTCATTAGTGTAGCAGCTGCCTCCATTTGTCTTCACCATGGTGTCAATCTTGGTTATCAGCTCACTGACTTGTTTATGCTTTTCTTTATCATGGTTATTGAACACATGGTATCTTCCTCCACAGTCAGCAATCAGCTTCTTAAAGGAATCATCACATTTTTTTCCAATGTACTCCCCAATAGATATCTCATCATGTTCCAGTTCATCTCCTCTGGTGAAAAGAATGAAGGTGAACTGTTCAGAATTCTTCCCAAAGCCTTTCTTGATGAGCTTTATTGTCTCCTTCTCCTCTGGTGTAAATCTGCCGATTTGTAACACCAACAGGAAGACATGTGGTCCTGGAGCCAGAAGACTGATGCATTTCACCATCTCCTCATTAACCTCTTCATGGGACAAAGTTGTGTCAAACAGACCAGGAGTGTCGACTACAGCAACAGGACGACCGTCCACCTCTCCCACTGCTTTCTGACAGCGTTTGGTGACTGATGTTTGGCTTGATTCAGCTTCAAACTCGTCTCTTCCTAGGATGGTGTTTCCTGAAGAACTTTTTCCACAGCCAGTCTTCCCTATCAGCACAATCCTGAGACACTCTGGGCTCTGCTCCTCATCATCACCTGTAACATCAAACTTGAGTTACCTTTAATATTCACAGCTGCCACAGTAAAGGCTCAAGAACTGTAATGTAGAACATGGTTAAGGATACTTTTTTTAATTCAAAGTACTTACAAGTGAGCTTGTCCTTCGTCAGCTTCTCAAGCTCAATCTGTTGCCTCTTGATACGTTTCTCTTGTTGTATGATCTTTTTCATTTGTGCTTGTGCAAATGTTTCTGTTGTATAGCAGGATGGTTTCTGTTTAGATTGACTGACCACAGCATCCAACAGCTCTGGGATCTGCTGCTGGTCCTTGATGTTGAGAACAACATATCTTCCTCCACAGCTCTGACAGAGCTCCTGGATGTCTCTGTTCTTCTTTATAAAGTTAACAACAGCTGGAGCTGTAGAATCTGACTCCACGGTGAACAGGATCAAGGTGAAGTCATTGACTCGAGAGCTGAATGTGTTCCTGATGGTCTCTAACTCTCCCTTGTCTTCATCAGTGAGGGGACCCACAGGTAGGACCAGGATGAAGGCATGGACGCCCTCAGGATCACAGAGGGAGATACACCTGAATGATTCCTCCATCACTGCCTCCTGAGGTTTTCCATACAAGGCAGGCAGCTCCACCAGGGAAACCCAACGTCCACACACCTCTCCCTGATGTTTAACACACTCTGATGAGCTGGAGACTGAATGAAGCTCTGTATGACCTAAAATGGCCTTGGCTGCTGAAGTCTTCCCTGCTCCTCTACTCCCACACAGGACCAGATTTAAAGCTGCTCTGAAGGGTTCAGACTTTGGTCTGATGGGCTCTTCAGTGAAGGTGAGGAAGGCTTCTTTGTTTTCATGCACAATGTTCTCAATCTTCTTCATCAGTGATCTATGATCCTCCTCCAACATGCTGTACTGTTTTCCTCCACATTCCTTAAGCAGCTGTTTCACATTGAGGCGTTCAATCACCTCATGTGTCATGATGACCATCGAGTGTTTGAAGGCATCTTGATCAAACAGACTCAGGATGAACTTCAGTGTTTGTCTGTTCTTCTCAGTGAACTCAGAAGGGTTCACTAACAGCAGCAGAACATTTGGTCCAGGATGACAAAGACTGAAGCATCTTCTCATCTCTTCTCTCATTTTCCCCCGAGACAGACTGAAGATATCTGGAGTTGTCACTACTGTTAATGGTTTACCGTTCCACTCTCCACAGGCAGCAGCACAATGCTTGTTTGAGGAGTGTTTTAGGACTTGAAATTCTTGACCCTCGAGCATTAAATGACCAAGTTCTGTCTTTTTGTCCAAACTCTTCCCCAACATCACAATTCTGAGTGTAGATGCTGTAATATAACATAAAGATGAAGAATAATGAACAAGATCACATTTAGCATGGATGTTGATTCAGACGTTCACAGACTCACTGAAATAAATACAATCTAAAGATATAATCACTGTATGTGGACCTCTGTCTCTCATCTCTGTATAATATTGGAATCCTTGAAAAACGGGTCTGAAATATTTGTTTCGAATGTCACAATTAAAGGGGTAATGTTTTGTTTAAGTGGAGTTTATTAGGTTGGCATAATTCATTTTTTACACAATAATGTGTGAGACAGTCTAATGCATTATTAAAAAGCTTATACTTCTAATTATTTTATGCTGTATAAATGATTAACTTACCTTGTGTGATTGTACTTTGAACTGATGGGGAATTGTGTGATGTGTTTGATTTTAACCCTGCAAGACAAAACCATCAGTTATAAATTAATCTCAAAGATCTTTATATGCAGAATGTTATGATCATCTCTAATGAATGTACTTACACCTGGTTACATAGTTTTTTGCCCTTGCCGTGTAAGATGTCCGCTCTGCAAAGATAAAATCATCCAGTTGAACTCAACTTGTTACAACTCAGTCAGTATTTATTTGCACTGATCACATTATCAAATCTGTTTCTGCACTCACCAGGAGTGCATCTATTAAGCATTACCATGGTATGAGTAAAAAGGCTCAAGGTGGAAATGCTCCTGAATGTAGTGCATGTGTGAATAGTTTAAACAGCCTGACAGTTTATTCTAGTAACTTATAACAAACTGTATGTGTGTTCAATATTTTTATTAATGGGTTTATTGTATATATAACTCTATAGGGTCAACATGCTCCGGGCTGGGTCGCCAGCTAACAATTCAAATTAAGGGCTAACTGTAGCATCACATGGCTAGCGTTACCTAACTGTTATTAGTGAGTTGAAAAACAGAGTTGAGCCTTTTTTGAATTAGTTTGTTGGAGTTTAAGGGCTCTGTGCTGGATGTGAGCTGCTGCTGTGTTAGCTCGTGCTAACACTCCACCAACGGTCCTTCGGCGCTATGTCTAATATGTGTAGAGTCTAGTGGTTGAGGATCAGACGCTTGCCACAGTCATGTTGTCCTTCTGAAATATGTCCACACCAGCAACTACATATTTTGCTCTCTAGTCAGCATGCTGAGCTTGTTATTCTTCTTCTCCATGCTTATTGGCAGCTTGCAAACATTAAAGGTGTCCTGCCGCCCACTGGTTCAGTTTGGCTTTGTTTTACCTGTGAAATTTATCAGCTTTAATTTTATTATTGGAATGATACATGATAGTAAAAAATGTCCAGTTATCGGCCAATAATTATTGGCCTGATATATATTGTGCATCCCTACTCTACAACTTTACTAATGTTACTACGGACATGATGTAGGACTGTCAGAAGCAAAAATTTTATATCTATCTGGCATTTGTGATCATTTACTTACTGGCAGAGTGTGCAACATTGCTGTCACTGTGCCACCCACACATACTGTATGACCAATTAGTTACCTGAAATGACCCAAAACCACAAATTCTATAATACCAGGCACTGGTATAATAATTTGGTAAGACAGCATGTATAAACTGATCATTTTGGGACATTTGATAGATGTGAAACAGTAATAATATATTTTTAAATGAATGTCATTTAGAAAATACAATTTAAATGAATATGTTTTGCTTATTTTCCTACTATTGAGCAGCACATCTCCACAGTTAACATGCCTGGTAGTAACACACCTGGGGCTGTATTCACAAACAGTCTGAGAATCCTCTCACAGAGCTCCCAACTTAGCCTAAAATATAAGTCTAGCTTAGGTGTGATTTAGGAAAGTTCTCAGAGCAACTCTGAGCAAGGAAGGGACAGAAACTTGTACCTTACTGAGGAGGTGTTGCTTGACCCTGTTGTTAGGTATGATGCAAAAAGAGATGTGATTGGTTGCCCTTTTGTGAGCTTGTACGGTGTGAGGACACCCAGTGGAAATGAACTGAACAGCTGACTGTGAGAGTGATGTCATTGTTAGTGTGATCACTCTGATGGAAGGTTGAGACTGACTCAACTCATCACTGCTGCACTGTTACATTTTTCCAGTTTCCAAATATCTTAGTTTTGTGTTCATTTTATTTCTGGTGTTACAGCGTTAAGGTCTGAGATGTTTTGGGAATAACTTTTATCTTTGCAAGGACCCAGTCTTAACTGTAAGGGGAAATTCTAAGAAAAATGTCACAATCCTAAAAATTGTCTTGGAATTTTGTCACGAGTAGCAACTCTGTGTACTTGTAAGCTTGGTGAATATGGCCCCTAATTGAAGCGGCTCTCATATCTCAGCCACCACTGAAGAGAGTTGACACATAAAGTCAGCGGTCAGAGGATTAGAAACATCATTCAATAAAATGGTTCGTCTTCCAATTGTATTTACGCCAGAGATCACTGTCCAGCCTCCTGAAGGAACATGCTAGGACAGGTTTTTTCTGGGACCCTTTTAAGTTTGTTAAAAGATTGTTCAGCCAGGAAAAGGGAGGGCAGCTTAAAGCAGAAAGGGTAGAGGTTGAAGAATATTTGAGAAACACATATTCAGATTTAGAGAAGAATAGGATAGTAGGTTTCCCACCCGATATCCCTCCATTAGGAGGGATAGAGCATGAGATGGATGTCAGGCCACCGAGGTGGAAGGAAGTTCAGGAGGTGGTCAGGCGTGCAAAGGCTTCTTCGACCCCAGGGCCTAATGGAGTCCCCTGCTGGGTTTATAAAAGTGCACCTGATATCCTTAAATTTTTGTGGAAACAGCTAAGAATAGTTTGGGAAAAGCAAATTATACCAAGAGCATGGCGTAGGGCAGGGGGTGTCCTCATTCCTAAGGAGAAGAAGTCTGTGGACCTTAGCCAGTTCCGGATGATTTCTCTCTTTAATGTGGAGGGGAATATTTTCTGTAGTGTTGTTGCGCAGAGATTAGCTAGCTACTTAGAAAGGAATAGCTTAATAGATACCATGGTGCAGAAGGCAGGAATACCAGGTTTTTCAGGGTGTTTAGAGCATACTAGCATGATCTGGCACCAGATTCAGGCAGCAAAGATTAACAAAAGGGACCTGCATGTAATATTTTTAGACCTGGCAAATGCGTTTGGTTCAGTACCGCATAGCCTCATTTGGAGTGCGTTTGACTAGTTAAGTGATAGGAAGTTTGTCATAGATGATGAGGACATCCCAACAATTAGGGAAAAGTCAGTAAAGAGCTTAGGTAGGTGGTACAATGTAGAGTTGAATGATGAGGAACAGGTGGTGAAATTTAGGAAAGATGTGGCAGAAGGATTGGATAGAATAGATAAATCAGAACTTCCAGGAAAGTTGAGTTGTGGTGTTTGCAATTTGGGCTATATCCTAGGTTAATGTGGCCGTTGTCAATTTATGAAATTCCAGTATCCGTTGTGGAGAGAATTGAAAGGTCGGTTAGCTCCTATATTAGGAAGTGGTTGGGCGCTCCTAGGTGTCTAAGTAGTGTTGCATTGTATGGAAAAGGGATACTTGAGCTGCCAGTATCTAGTTTAACAGAGGAATTTAAATGTACCAAGGTCAGGACAGAGCTCTTGTTATCTGAGAGTAAGGACATGGTAGTTAGGAGTGTGGTTCCAAATCCAACCAAGGGGAGGAAGTGGAACCCAAGATCGGCAGTTCAGGAAGCAGAAGCAGAGGCAGCTCTTAGACATGCAGAGATTGTAGGTAATATTCAGTTTGGCCAGGGAGGCCTGGGGCTTGGCTCAGGTAAACCGGTATGGAATACAGCAGGTCTCAAAGATAAAAGAAAGCTGGTTGTGGAACAGATACGCAGACAGGAAGAGATATTAAGGGGTGCAAAGGTAGTGGCCCAGGCTAAACAGGGACAGTGATTGAATTGGGAAAGTGTAGAGAAGAGGAAGCTTAGTTGGAGGGACCTGTGGAGTATGTAAGAGAATCGTATTAGATTCCTGGTAGGGGCTACATACGATGTGTTACCAACCCCCCAGAACCTAAAACTGTGAGTAAATGGGGACCCATCATGCCCATTGTGTTCACGTACCGCAACCTTAAAGCATATTTTGTCAGGCTGTAAAGTTAGCTTGTCACAAGGCCGATATACATGGTGACATAACCAGGTGTTGAAATGTTTAGCTGCAGGCATTGAAGGGAAACAAAGACAGGTGAATTCAGAAGGTGTTAAGGATAGGAGTTTAGTAACTCAGTTTGTCCGTGAGGGAGAGAAATACAGAAGGGATAAGTTAGTGAGGAGGCAAGGGTGTGGTCGCCTAGAAGGTGCTTGTGATTGGGAAATGCAAGTAGATTTAGGGGGAAAGCTTGTTGTTCCCCAGGAAATAGTTTGTACCAAGCAGAGACCTGACATAGTGTTGTGATCATTGAGTCAACGGATAGTTTATTTCATTGAGCTGACAGTTCCTTGTGAAGACTCAGTGGAAGAAGCCTATGAAAGAAAAAAGCTTAGATATGCAGAATTAGGAGCAGAAGCTGAGCAGTGAGGATGGAAGACTAGGATTTGTCCATTGGAAGTGGGGTGTAGGGGATTCATAGCAAGATCAGCTGTCTCGCTCCTGGGGGAACTCGGAGTGCAGGGACAGAGTTTGAGGAAGACAGTGAGGGAAATGTAAGATGAAGCAGTCAGAGCCAGCCAGTTTATCTATAAGAGAAGAAATAATGTCAGTTGGGGGCCAGCAGGGGGAACTACTAAGCAGGGTACATAACTCCTTGAGATCAGGTGGAGAGATCCACTTCCTCTCAGGAGGAAATCCAGGAAGAGGAAGGTTATTTAAGTGTGGGAGTGGCCTATTTGAATCCATTTTGTTTGAGACCATGCTGCAAGGTGAGTGTGTTTGCTGATCCTGTGAGTTTATTTATCTCCTTTAACTTTAGCTTATATTGGAGTTATGCTATGTAGCATGTGAAATAGAGTATGGTGAATGTGCTAGGAAAAGTAGTATCAGCATTGCTTCTACCTGGAGCTCGTATGTAAGGAGCCTGGGTTTGGTTGAAGGTGGCCGTGCTGTTTGGGCTGAGAAAGCCATGTGTAAGTAAGGTAAAGGAGGTTGTTGGGTTGGTGCGGGGAGGGGAGCAGTGAGACCTGGCATTAGGGGAGTGTCTCTGGGACGCCAGAGATCACTGTCTAGCCTCCTGGAGGTGTCGTGGGACCAACTAGACAAAACATCGGTGAAAGGAGGTTCCCATCCGATGACCCCAAATACATGTTAGTTATCACTGCTCACTGGTCTGTATAGTTAAGCCTTGCCATAATAGCTTATCATAGGGCTTAGGAGGTTATTCACTGAGTGCTGATCCTTTCTCTAGAGCACAAACTTCTTGTGTTTATTTGAATTCAATGTATTTGTCATCTTACATCCATGATCCGCTCCTGTTTTTTTCCACCCAGAATTGAACCCGAAAGTAAAATTCAGAGAAAATATTACCCGTGAGTCACCTTGTATGTGGGTCACCTGCAGTAATGGGAAAACGGCGTTATAAATAAACAGCGTTACTAACAGCGCTACTTTTTTCAGTAACGAGTAATCAAAAAAGTTACTGTCTCCCCTGTTATAATGCCATTACCGTTATCACAATAAAGTGCGCCGATACTCGGCTTTGCCTGAGTTCACTGAAGCAGCTTTCACCCAAACCAGCTCCTTCTCAGTAGTAGTAGAGTGTCAGACTGAAGCTCCCAGAACCTTCAGTCTGACATCGCCTCCATTGAAGGCGATTTACAAGGGGGAGGGAATTTGATTTTTCCCTAACCAATCATTAGAGATCAACGACTCACCCAGAATCTGACGTCATTAGTATCCATGCCTCGGGGGTGCCGAAAACAAGCGAGCATTGCCCGTTTAAAATGTCTCCGTTGTCATGCACGCCCAGCTGCATCGCCGTTATATCCAGTTTAGCAGCTTCCTTAATTTGGTCCTCCATTAACGCGAGTAGTGGCGAAATACCTCGATAGCATCGTTAGTTTGGTCTGTAGGATCTGTAGCAGACGCCGTTGTTGCTATCCTCACCAGTTACCCACCAGTGCACAGCTTGACATCAGCGTGGCGCTGATTGGCTAATCGCTAGACCCGCCCCCACCCCCGGCGTTTATTGGTCCTTCCATAGTTTGGACAGGATAAATTGCAAATTCATTGCAGTATGCCAGACCAGAGATGCAAGCCTACTCAGTTGAGTGGGAGGGGTCTATGGTCTGGAACCAGGCTACCTTCTCAGCGGACCTCTAAAGTTTTTTTTTTCTTTGCTGAGGGCAGGTAAGGAGGAAGCATAAGTCATGATGATTGGCTTAGGGAGAGTAAAATGTCATCATAAACCAGTCAGAGGCAGAGTAGGGCAGGTATTCCCAAGCACACAAGCAGGGTTGCTGTGTGGGCTTGTTTTTTTGTAAAGTCACTTACAAATATTGGTAGTCGCGGGTTGCTTATTTGGGCTTGTTTCTAAAGTTGACTTGCTTAATTGGGCTTGTTCCTAAAGTGGAGCTGCTTATTTGGGTTTGTTCTCTAAACGCCACCTTTCTCTTTATATATCTATCTAATAAGTTATTTAATGGCATGATAGTATGTCGGACTGCAGGATGTTTCCACAGCTCCGCTCTCTCCGCCCCTCTCCTTCTCCGCACACACAACTGACGGTCAGTCGATGAGACTTTTCACATTTAAATTGCGCGAATAATGGAGGTTCTTTAACTAGTGTAGATAATTGCACACTGTTTTATAATAATGATTTATTCTATTAAGTGTCAGTTTCATTCATTTAACATATTCAATGTTGAGTTTCATTACATACAGTTCCATTAAGGGGGCTGTCCAAGCAATTTGACATATTTGTGTATTTTATAAAAAAGTAATGCTATAGTTACTTTTCCAGGTAATTAGTTACTTTTATAGTGCAGTAACTCAGTTACTAACTCAGTTACTTTTTGGGGAATGTAAATCGTAACTATAACTAATTACTTTTTTGAAGTAATGTTCCCAACAGTGGTTACCTGCCAGGTACTTGAACAGATGCAGAACTCATGTTTCTATGTAATCTATGATTTGTTATCACAATAACTTGTGTCAACAAAGTTTTCACATCTTTATTATTCATTGTTCTTGCACTTACCAGACTGAGTTTCCTTTTGTTTTAGGCTTTGTTTAGCAGTTGCATCCTCAAACACATCACGGTTCTCCTTTGCAGTTTGACCCAAACGTGATAACAACTCTGGATGTTCAAGGTTCTTCAGCTTCAGGTATCTGTATTTAAATTTTCTGATCAAGTCTTTTAATGGTGGATATTGCGTAAAGTTTGTACTGTCATGATATTTGGATGTTGATATCAGTATCAATGAATGATCAAATGATTGATCACTGAAGAGTTCCAGGACTCTGCAGAGTCTCAGTTTGTGTTCCTCAGTGAAGTCTTCAGGCTGTAGAACCAGCAGGAACACATGAGGTCCAGCATCAGAGAGTCTCACACACTTTTCTACATGTTCTGACAGTTTGTCTTCAGAGATGTTGAGATGCAGCAGATCTGGAGTGTTGATCAGAACTATTTCTTTATCCTTTATCTGTCCACTGACTCTCAGACAGCAGTCTGGTTCTTCCTCAGTGTTGAACTTAGTCTCTCCCAGTATGAAGTTCCCCACTGAACTCCTCTGAGACCAGCTGTTCCCCAGCAGAACAACCCTCAGCTCAGACACTGGAAAGAAAACATGATTATGAAAAGTAGGCCTGGTATCTATCCAGTGCAGAGGCAATACCAGGTGAGGACCTTCAGCTTGTTTCTTCAGCCTGGTTTTAATTCACCCACAATATCAGAGCCATACCCATAATTCGTATCAGTTAGGTCACTGGTATTCTCAAAGGGATTCTAAAATACTTTTAAAATCAAAGACAAGATGGAAAGTGTTACTTAAGTTACCTATCTTTACACTGATCATCACATGCCATTAAGATAAAGGTTAGAATGTAAAAATGTAAAATTTTCATCAAAATGTATTTTAGTTTTAATAGACAGCAAAACATATTTTTGTTTAGTTGTTTTATCAGCTGCTCCAACAACAAACTGAGCCTGGATGAAGCTTAAGTTCAAATTGGACCAAAATCACAAGGCAGATTTGGAGGACTTGCAGCTCCCATTCTCATCTCCTGAATTTTGAATTGAGTTCAGTTAAATTTGAGCTTTGTGGGACTCTCTGGTACCCAGATCTTATGAAACACCGGAGATTCAGAAAATACAGAGCAATACTGACTTGATCCAGTTTGACTTACTGAAAGGTGGCAGGAATTCAATACTGCTTCTGTGCTTCACAGGCCACGCATCATGTGACACTGTAAAGATACAGAAATGTATACATTCATTCATTTATTCATTCAGTCATCCATTCATTCACATGTATTTTACAAAAGGCCAGTAATATCTATGGCTTTCCTGTGTGCAGAGGACCGTAAAGGTGCCATATGCATATGATGACAGTCCCGTCTCCAGATTATAGTTTTATATTTTCCAAAATTGCTAATAGGGCCAGTTATGAACCAAATATACATGTTGATCATTGTATTTATTACTGATTTAATGTTCTATGAATCAAATAAAATCAAACATGTTGACTCTGACTTTTTACAGTTTGGAATGTTGCTAGTATGATCAATTTATTCATGTTTCAGTTCAGCGTTCAGTCCTCCACCAATAACCAAACTGTAGCTTCATTTATACTTCACATCGTGTATGGATAAAACTACAACTCATCAGTTTGGAATGTGACAATCTGTGCTCTATGCACCAGTCTCCCTCTCTCATCCAAGAGCCTGTGATGTTAAGCTTTTTTCTGGGGTGCTTAACTTGTTTGTAATTTTGCTGGTGTCCTTTTTTTGTTAAGCTGTTTGGAGTAAGCAGACAGCTTAGCAGGGAGAAGTCTCCAGCTGCTGCTTCAAAACACCTTATTATGCAACTCAGGATGGTTCAAGGTTTGATTATAACCAACAGTCAAATATATAATTCATATTTAATTTGCCTTGAAAACTATAATGCAGGAAAAGGAAGCTTGTGGTATTTTGAAAATGTTGTCATGATGTAGTTTGTCCAGCAGTGTGTGATCTGATTCCATTCTTTACAATGCTCTCAGCACTGAACAGAGTGTGCAGAGTGTGTCACAGCTGATCGAGGTGGTGCAAAGTCAGGTGGCATCTTCACAGTAATTTGCTAACTAGTTTGTGAAATAAATACTGGAAGTTAATTAACAGTGATTTCCCTTTTCGATATTAGTAATATAACACCGTGACAGTGATGTTAGATACCTACACCTCCCGAGTGTGGAGAGTCACTGCTAAAATACCGTCACCCCCTGAACGATATCTGATGGTAAAAGTAGTCCCAGTACACATTGAACTTAAAGGATAACTTCAGTATTTTTCAACCTGGGCCCTATTTCCCCATGTGTATCTGTGCGTATGATTCATAGGTACAACTTGTTCTAAAATTGGTTCAGTACTGAGGGAGGCGGATGCAGCCGGGAGCCACGAAAAGAGCTAAAACGGTAACAGAGGCAAATGCGTCCCGTATAAGTTTGTGCATTAAAAGTGTTTTTTTTCGCCACTGACCGGTTCAGATCACCAGTGCTATCTCTGTAAATAGCATACTAAGCGTTTCCCTTACCCTTCACTTGCTCTGGGCTGTGTGTGACGTCATCTCGCGAGAGCTTTGCTCCACTGTGTCTGTAGCTCTCTCTACTCGTGGGACAGCCGTTTTCTTGAGGAAGAGGTGTTTGGGGATTGGATGTCTTCTCTTCTTCAGCTGTCAGTAGTCATCTTGGGAGAAGTGAGCACTGCAGACCCGATGGTCTGCAAGGCGCAGTGTCTGGACAGGAGTGTTAGCATCCATTTGTAGCACAACTAGCCACAACTTCAGCATCTCGCCGTCCGACAAAGACAGCCTATGAAAGCTGTACGGGGTGTTGCGCGACATCCTGTTTTTGCAATTCGGAGAAGCACAAACACGAACCATTGTTTTCAATCGATGTAGTAAAACTCTCAACTGTACTCCGGGACAACCGGCACCACTCGGAGCGGCGCTCTGCATGGCTCCTGTTTTCTTCCGGCAACAAGCAAAGCTCTCTCGAGATGACGCAAGTGAAGGGTAAGGGAAACGCTTAGTATGCTATTTACAGAGATAGCACTGGCGATCTGAACTGGTCAGTTGCGAAAAAAAGCACATTTAATGCGCAAACTTATACGGGGCGCATTTGCCTCTGTTACCGTTTTAGCTTGTTTCGCAGCTCCCGGCTGCATCCGCCTCCCTCAATACTGAACCAATTTTAGAACGAGTTGTACCTATGAATCATACGCACACATACACATGGGGAAATAGGGCCCAGGTTGAAAAATACCGAAGTTATCCTTTAACGATATAAAGTTCCAGCAGTTTGAGAGGCTCAAGAATGATTTTATATGTCTTACTGACACTCTTGTTGGTGTTTTTCCTCTCGATTTCAGTGACCACTTTTCAACAGCATGCGTCTATGGTGCAAAATTTCAAAGATTCAAACCATGTGTCACTATCAAAAGGAATTTTAAACACTTAGGTTTACCCAAGTTTACCCTATTGGGTTTACCATGGTTACTCCTGATCCAGGGAGGCCTTAGATTATTATATAAAATCATATAATTCCATTGCAGATAAGCATGCACCTTTTAAGAAATTCAAATATAGGAGCAGTCCTTGGTTTTCTTCGGAAATTGCTCATATGTTTTATGTCTCTATACGTAAATAAAGAAAGTCCAGCAAAGTTTGGAAAATGATTAATCATAATTCTACTTCATCCTTACTTGTTCAAAAATGTTCAAGGTTCTCACAGTATCTCAGTTGGGAATAGTGTATGTGATGCAGTCAATGAACATTTTATTTAATGAGATTTTAAAATGCTTGATTTTCTCTATTGTCTCTGATCAACATGCACTTTGCTGGGTAAACAAGTGTGGCACTAAGGACTTTACAAATCTTGAAGAGTTCAATGCTCTTTGTTTTACTGACCCTTCAAATTCCACGCACTAGTCAAATAAGTGGAATTCTTATCAACCACTTTCCAAACTATCATGTTCAACTTAAATATTAGAGAAGCTGGTGAATGTTCAGGTGAGAACATTTTCATCACAGCAGTCCATTTAAAAATCTGACCAATCAGGTTTTAGACCAGGGCATAGTATTGTGACAGCTGCATAGAAAGTCTTGATTGATGTTGCTAGTGATGTTGTGTGTGCCTTTGATAATAAGCAGGATTCTGTCCCAGGTTTTATTTATTTATTATAGGATATCTGCAGATATCTGTACGAGAACTCATCTGAGACTTCTTCCTACATCCTGAGAGTAAGCCTTTAACACCGATACAAAGACATGTCAGTCGTTGACAAGTTCATTAAGTGATCCCATCACGGTCCAACTTTTTAGAAGTGTGGTCTTTTGTATTTTAATGGTCTTTTTCTTTGTGAGTGGCTTCTGTTTAGTTATTAGCTGAAAAACCTGTTAAGTATCTTTTAACTACTCAAATGACATGAGAGTCCCCCAATATAACAATTTTCTAAATGAGTTATTCATGTTTCATGCCACAGCTTGTATATTCTGTTATTGAAAATCACTGGAAAAAGCTTGTTTTAGGTTACAAGTCTGTATGTTGACCAAAAACATTTAAGAATCTCACACCAGTTTGTCACTTAATGTATTGTAAGAGGATTCTTTGTCTTAACAAAGATGTTCTTAGAAATCTAATCGTATATAACATTTCATGCAGTGGTTTTATCCAGTTCAAATAATTCTATTTCGGTCAATTTGGGGCTAGAGTTAGGCTCAAACAGAAGAAACAAATTGAATTTGTGATACCCAGTGATGCATTTTGAAGGTGTAGAGACAAAGGCCATCAAGGTTGTAATCCCAAATTAGTTTGTCTAATCCTACTCCTGGGGTCTTATGGCTCTAAATGAATTATCTTGTCATCTTATCGAGGTGTTTAAAAAAGTACCCTGGTCAGGGTAGGCAAAGATTGAAATAAATACAATAGTAGTTTTTTGAGGAAATAAAGTGTTCCAACTTGAATGCTGATTTCACCATCCTGCAGGATTGGCTTTTAGATAATAAACTATGGTTAAAAAAAAAAAAGTCCTATCTTGTGATCTTTGGTACTACACAGAAACTGAAATCCAAATCTGGCACATGTAATAACCTGTAAGGACAACAGTTCTTTGCATAAAGTTGATAGTATTAAATATGTTGGTGTTCGGCTTGATCCTGAACTCTCATTCAAAATACATATTGATCATATCATACACAAAGTCAACTTTGGAATCAGTGTTTTACATCGGTTTCGAAATTGTTTTTCTCGCAGTGTTCGTAAGAAACTTGCCTCACAATGTATACTTCCCATTATGGATTATTGTGATGTTGTCTATCAAAATGGACTAAAATCTGATCCTGTTCCACTTAACACCGCATATAATAGACTGCAGAATTATACTTGGATGTCCTTTTCTCACTCATCACTGTACAATGTATGATGCGCTTAAATGGCCATCTCTAAATGTCAGAAGACATTTTCACTGGCTTCAACTCATATTGAAATGCATTTATTGCAATTATCCATCTTATTTACAACAATATTTTGTACCTTTCACTTCTAATCAGCAAGTTAGACATGCTGCTCGACTCTTATTTCTCTGTCCCTCGTGTTAAAATGTCAGCCAGCAAAAGAGCATTCATGTTTAAAACCCAAGCAGATTGGAATAATTTACCTGCCAAAATAAGATCCATTTGATCATTAAATTTGTTTAAGCATGCCTTGTCTTCCTTCTTTTAGATGGTATGCTCCTGTTATCATTGATGCTGTCACTGTTCTATACTACTGTGTATGCTGATGTTTATACTTCATATAATCTGGGCCCAGTATTTCAAAGTGATCTGATAGGATTATCCTGGCTGGATTGGATTAAATCCTGATCTGATCTGAGGATCAGGATTCAGATCTGGTAATCCAGTCCTCCCTTTAATCCAGATAAAGGCTGCATTTGGGTATTTCAAAAGATAGAGATCTGAATCAATTTGATACCAAATTTCAGGATTATTTGGATCCCACCTCAGAGGTGGATTTGACAAAGCCTCAGCTCCACTTCTCCTAGATATTGGTACTCAAGATGTTCATTACACTTAATCTAAATTAGTGTTTTAGAGGTTTTACACAGAATAAAAATTTTTAGTTTTTCAGGTATTATTATTTTTGTACGCACCATTCTCTCTCCGTATAATTTGCTACAATTATAAGATACAAAAAACTTGAATACCCATTTTCATGTTAGTTTTCAGACAGTAAAAAGTGGAGAGGGTCCTATACCGACTTCTTCTATGTAAAATACGACCCTTTTGATTTTGAAATTGTGCAGTGTGAACTTTGCTTTGACAAACCCTGCTGTGAATGAATGTGGGCAAACCTGCCAGACCTGACTACATCCCTGGCAGTGTACGAAGAACATGTGCCAACCAGCAAGTTGATGTAATTGCTGAAATATCTAGCGTAACTGTCACAGGAGTGTTTCACCTGCTTCAAGACAGACCCATCGTCTCTAAAAAGTCTGCAGTGTCTACTCTGAGACTTCCGCCCTTTGGCTTTCAACCCCATTCTGCTGAAGAGAAACCGCTTCTTCAGCACATCACAAACAACGTCCCAGCCAGACTGAACCCACCATCACCAGTTTGCAAACAGAAACAACAGATCCACAAATGCCTTTTCACTGCCCTCCTCTCAGCCTTCACACACTTTGAAAATAACAACTACATCAGAAAGTTGTTTGTTGATTTCAGCTGAGCATTCAACAAAACCTCCACCGTGGAACTGACTGGCGAGCTGATGCACACTGGGTTTGAGTACCACGCTGTACATATGGATATTGGACTTCCTCACAAACAGACCCCAGAAAGTCCAAATAGGCAGGCCTGCATTCTCCTCTGCTGAACCAGTACATTCTGTCCGTGGACTTTAACGTCTACATATTATGTGCTAGGTATCCTCCTGCGTCTGCTGTTGATCTTGGATGCCGCAACTAACGTGAAGACATCAACAAAAGCACGTGGTTAGGTTTAGAAAAAATCATCATGGTTTGACTCTACGTACCTGTGGGAGGCAAACACTGATCTACTGGGTGAACGTCCAGAGTTTGTTGGACCCATCTACCCCCTCCATCTCTACAGGAACTTTCCAGCTCCCTACATTATGACGGCAGCGTTTAAAACTGACACAGTCCAGCTGTGTATTATATTGCAGCAACTAGTGCCATCCAGCCGCATTATGAACTGATGCCGCCTGTCCATGTATCATACTGCCACAACAGGTGCCGTCCAGCCGACTGCACGAAAGGCTCCTTCCAGCTGTGTTACAAACTGACGCCTCCAAGCGGTGTATCATCTTGCTGCAAAAGGGTTTTTTGGTTTAGCATTGGGTGTCTGACATCAAAACCGCTGACAAAGGGGCGATATCTGACGACTTCTGAATGCTAACGGGCAGGCTGAACACTGGGATCCCCCAGGGCTGTGTGCTCAGACCCCCACGCTGTACACCCACGACTGCAACCCCCAACATGGAGAGAACTCTGTTCACCACCATCGTCAGCTGGATTACAAACAACAGTGAGACTTCATATTCGCATCTTGTGCTCAGAAAACAACCTACTGATCAACCTCAGCAAAACCATGAGCTGATTGTTGTTTCTGGGGAAAAGGACATGCAAGCAACACATTCTCATACCAACTCACCAAATATCACCGCTTTTTCAGTGGACCTACACGTCAAACTAGGGCACTCTAGGCATCTTCCAGCATCAGTTTTGGACCTTCAGGGACGGCGTGTCAATTTACGGTTGTTACATGAATTGTGTCTTTTCAAAATACACTTTGTTATTACAGGAAGTGTACAGTTTCTGCTTGTTAAATGCATACAGTATTTTTCAAAATAAACCTACGCATTATTTCCCTCTTTAGGTTTAGGCAACAAAAGATGTGGTTAGGTTTAGAAAAAAAAGCATAATGGTTTGGCTCGAAAAGGTATGATTGTAAGAAACCTAATGTCAACTCAACAATTTGATTGACTTCTGGTTTCACATGGTGAAGAACAATGTGCTCTTGGGTGAAAGTCCCGAGTTTGTTTGACCCATCAACCTCCACTCCCACCCGCCCTATGCTGACTCTCTTGCTCTTAATACTACGGCAGTTACCCAGAGCGTCAAAAAATACTGCCATCCGGTGCGTATCAAGATCAGCTGCGAAGAGTGGCACTGTGCATCAGTGTCTGACGCTGAGGTCCACTAACAAAGTGGCTTTATTTAACGAGTTAGGAGTGAGAACTGGGTGAAGACACACAGCCATGTCTACATCAATGGAGCTTATCAGTGGAGCTTCAGTGGCGCAGTCTAACAGTTTTAGTTTCCTGAGAATCATCAGCGTCACAGAGAACCTGCCATGGTCATCACACATCTCCACCCTGAAAACAATATTCACCTGCTAAGTTTTTCTCAGCTTTGCAAGAGACATCATCCTGACTGGGAACATTTCAAACTGGCATCAGATGTGAACAGTCCAGGACAGGAGGGCTCTGCAGCGGGGGATTAAAACCTGCCCAGAACATTAGCTATGTCCATCTACCGAGCATCGGTAATATCGGCGAGGTGCCTGCACAGAGGCCAAAGGATCCTAAAAGACAAAAACCCCCCAGGGCTTGACGCTAACTTTTTTCCCAAGGAGCACATGTGCTCCTAAGTTGAAAAAGTAAGGAGCGCACAAAGAACTTTAGGGGCACAATGTCAATTGATCAAATAATGTGTTTTCCATAATAAACGTGATGCAAATAGACATTTACAAGCAAAATTATTTAATTAATTTGTATACAAAATGTACAGAAAGGTAAAATCATCAAGTTTTGAAAAAGTATTGCAATTGAATTTTGTCTTTAATGTTATTATCTTATATATATTATCTTTGCAATATGATTATCTTATATAATGTTATTACTATCCTAAAACATTCTCCAGGTCCTCTGAAACTCTGCAGGGCATTGCGTGGCGCCCTCTCGTTGCTCAGCTTGGCGGCAGAGCGGTGCGCTCTTGCGCCGCGTTAGCACATACACAAGGAATGGGTTCGTCGGCAGAGGTCTGCCCTTTGCGCGCACTGTGTGAAAAGGGCTTTATTTCCACCCAGCCGACAGCCTGGCCGTGGAGAATCATCCCTAACTGCGGGGAAAACGGAGCAGGCTTCCCCGTAGGTCCGCCGCTTCCTCCACACTTTGACTTATTTCCACGCTTTCCGGTATCGTCAGGAGCAAATGCGGCAGGACAAGGACAAGGACTTAAGGCAGCGAAAGTTCGACTAGGACGGGTGGAAGTGGTGGTGGATGGGTCCAACAAACACCGACTTTCACCTGAGAGAGCGGTGTTCATGTCCTGTAAGATTCTAAAGCCAAACCCTGTTGTTTTTCCTAAACCCAACCACGTTTTTGTTGTTGAAGGAACAAACGTCACTGAGACTGTATGCAAACTGTACATTTCCTGTGAAAACAGAAGTGTATTTTGAAAACAGACAATGCATGTAACAGGCTGAAGTTGACACAGCGTCCCAGAACGTCAACAACCAACACACCCAGGGTACCTTGGACGTCATATGTGGACGTGGAAAGTCCATGACCAAACGTCAAGAAGTGACCGGGTGAGAATGTGTTGGCTAAGGCTCTGATCGCTGTAGGTTCTGTCAGTCACTCACAGTTTATAGTGCTTCTCCTATTTAATGTTGAATTAGATTGAAATGAGACGAAACAATCAGCTGAGTGAGTTTCATCAAGGACTTACAAACCTGATTTTAAAAAGTGAGACAAAGTGCTGGTCCATATTTATCTCGTGGGAACTGAGAGAAAACTACTAACGTCTGACTGGACTCACCTGATGCTGCAGTCGCCATGACGTCACTCTGCTGGAAACATCAGACACTAATTCAGCTGGAGACCAACTGCTGCGTTAACGACCTACAGAAAGAATAATTACAATTTAAATGATCTGACTTACAGAGCAAAATGTTTTTACAGAGCAGAGTGGAGTGTCTCGTTCACCTTTACAACCACAGTGGGGACTGAGAGGAACAACCTGCCCTCTGGTTACAGGGATCGTGTGTGTGTGTGTGTGTGTGTGTGTGTGTGTGAGAAATTCCCTTAAAATGATGATTCATGTTTTTACTTAAATGCATTTTATAATGTCGCCTACATAAAGTGTAACAACATTTGGCTGTTTGTAGTTTGTCGTGAGGTCTCACAAAAGAGATGTCACTGATTCTGAATAAATAAAGATGATTTAATGTGACGGAGCTTCTTCAGTTACATTACCTTAAAATGTGATCAACTAAACACCAATAATCAAACTCTCCTTTATCTGTACAGCACCTCTCAAACAGGTTGGTGCAGTTCAAAGTGTCACAGATGACTGACGAGCTGATGTTGAGACAACAAGTGTAGACCATAAAACAATAAGACAAAAAACAATTTTGGGACCAGTGCACGCGGGACAATGAAAATGATTCAAATGTAGAACAATAGATTTAACAGTTATAATAACAGTTTAAAACTAAGTGACAAAAACAGATTAAAAAGGCAAAACAAGATTAAAAATGATGACAATACAATAAATAAAGTCTAAAATCAAACTAATGTCACTTTGGTGATTATGGTTACAGCCTCTTCTTGGTTTTTAGTTTAAATCTAAAATAGCAACTTTAAATGTGATATTATAGAAACATAACCTCTATCAGAGTTGCTGTCTCAGATTTCTCTCATTAAACTCTTAAACATATCTGGTCTCCAGAACATAAACTAAATATTAACATTTATTAAAGAATCATGTTTTGTTTTATATCTGCACTGCTTCAGTCACATTAATGTCTAAAGATAATAAACTTAACTTCAGAATAATGTAAAGGCTTTAATTGTAACTTTAAAGTTGATGTGATTCAACAACCAAAACAGAATAACATTTGTCAGAGTTTCCTTCAGACAGACAGATTTCTCTGATAAAACTCTGACTGAAAAATATGTGAAAATAAAATATGAAAAACATCAGTTTTCTAGCATCTTTTTTTTAAACTGTAATAAGTTATAATCTTTACCTGTAGATGAAAACCACCGCTGTTCTGTCAGTCGTCACCAGTCTGACGATAGAAAGTGAAAGTTAAGACATAAAAACGCCCTCAGGAGAATTTGATCCAGCAACATTTCACTGATCTGAAGTCAGACAAAACTACACCTTTATTTTTTAATGGGATTGTTGGTGGTAAAAGAGTCCTGTGACTGTTACTGCTGTTAATGTCATACTTTATTAATCACTGTTATATTTCCCCATCATGCTATGAACTACTTTATCCTGTTGGTAATGTAACGCAGGCTGTAACGTTACTTTTCCCACTGTGCTTTGTTTCCATCAGGTTTGATTTTTGTGGCAGCGGCGCCATCTTGTGGAGCCCCTGCAAACTGGAGTTGTTGAACCCACATGTGGTTTCCAGTGTGCTGCTGTAAAGCTGTTTGTGTTTCAGCTGTCTGTTACAAACTCCGTTAAACTACGACAATATACGTTCATTTTTGTGTCTGTGAAGCTTTGGACTAACTTGTTTTCTGTTCAAGGGACTTCCGGGTATTGTTGTGAATGATTGTGTCACCATATCAGTGGTCATTTGTTGTACAGTGATTTGTTGAGCACAATATCAGTGACTTAAAGTAACGTTAAGTAGCTTGATGAGAAATCAGTGGTGTAACGTTAGCTTGCTGAGCAGCAGTTAGCTTCAATATGTTTTGGAGCTTGGTGTCAAACGGAGGTGGCTGTGAGAGACCATATTCAGTTGTAACCAGGTATATAGTGTCATTTATTTCACCTGCTAACATTCGGAGCCAGTCTGTTGTCCCGCTGTAACGGATTTTACGGATGTTACTGACTCTGAGAGACCTGACATGATGCTGTTGTTAGCAGATCCCGGTTTGTGTGTCCGGTGAAGGAGGAGAAATAAACGGATGGAGCTGCAGATGGAGGCGGAGTGGGACTCACCTTCAGTCCGGAGGGGGGCTCACCGATGACGGAAGGAGGAGGTGAGGTGGTGTTGACAGGATCCAGAGACAAAGTAGACACCTGCCTCTGAGTCCCACCCTTTTTAATATCAACTTTACATCACTTTATTGACATGTTTTTGTCTTTTAAATATTCTATAAATGTTTGTGACAATTCTACACATTAATACAGATTTAATGAAAGCAGAGAAATGACTGGCCAACTACAAACAACTAAACTAAACCCTGTAGTTGATGCTCCAACCTGACAGAAACATTTTGATGCTTTAAAGTGACGATGAAGTAGCGCTGCCTCTGTGTTCTTCTGACTGTAATATGTGTTTATCATCATAACTGATTCCACAGTATTTTATCTTGGTTTATTATAGAGCATGTTCACTATGTTCAGTTCAAATAACATTTAACATTTAGTGTGTTAGTTTGTGTATGTGGAGTCCAGTAGAGGTAAGATCTGTGCGTCCTCTTTCCTTAATTATCCATTTAATAAACTGTGATATATTATCTTTAACTGTCTTGTCTTAAACTGGAGTGATGGGAAATAACAACGCTGCTAAACAACAGATCCTAATGACATCAGAGGCTCTCCCAGAGATCTGAGGCCTCTCTGAATTTCTGCTTTGGTGGACTTGTGAAACGTCACGGCTGAAGTACTGTCCTAAATTTAATGTTTGCATTTATCCAAGTATGGTTCAAATACCCGCCCGTCTTGTTCGTCCATTTCATCAAGGATGCTTTTGGAGGTGACCTGTGTGAACTCGCGGTACACAAGTATCCCAGCATGCATTTCACTTCAACCAGCAGCAGTGATGGAGGACATGAACCAAACTCACATGTAAGTTATCATATTTGTGCTACAACTGTTGTCACCAGTTATTTTTGAGTTTCGTGTTTTTAGCAAGAAATTAACCTTTTATGTTTTTTAAATATGTTGTTGATTTAATAAAATAAGGCCTAGCCTATGACTTGAATATTTGCCTCTATGTTTTTGGCGATGTAAGAAAATGCTGGCCTTTCTAGGTCATCTCAGATAGAAAGGATTTACCTCGGCACACCGTCTGTAACATTGGTACTGATGTCTCTGTCATGATGTACTTGAAATCTTTTATAATTTTTTTAATCAAGAGTTAACCATAATGCTGCTTCTGTGTACTTGCCATTGCTCTGCTGCAGATTTCAAATTTTACTGTGTTGATGTTTGATGTGTCTTTTACCCCTTTTAAATTGAATTGTCTTCAGCCTGTAGCTCTAACTGCCTCTCTGTGGACCGCACTTACGTGTGCGCACTTGCGTGCGAGACCAGCGAAAGCACGTGAACACACATGAGCGCAGTGCCCAGAGAGGCAGTCAGAGCTACAGGCTACAATGAGGCTAAAAACAGAGTTCAAATGACGTTCTTCCAAACAACTTTTTATGTCGGGGCTTCAGGACACTTGGATCACTACGGACGAGCAGTATGGAGATATTTTGTGGTTTCAATTATGTGTTTTTGGACGTTTGAATCTGGGGCGCCGTCAGCCTCCATTAGGTGGAGTTGTGTTGCTACCTCCTCTCCCCTTGGATCTCTGCAAGTGATGTGAGGACTCTAAAACTTCACCTGAGCCTCCCTCGGCATATGGGTGAGTAGATAATGGCTGAATTTTCATGTTTGGGTGCACTATCCCTTTACGCTAAAAAGTTACATTCAAACCATTTTGTCCTAAACTGAAAATATATTGACGGCCTGGAGGGTTAAACATCTAGCAATTAGGTTAAATACAATGGTGCAGAAACACTCAAATTATTATTATATTATTATTATTGTTAAAAAGTTTGTGGAACAAATTCACCAATGATCTTTTCTGTTGTCTAAGAATGAATAGCTGTTGGTATTTTATTCTAAGTTCTACAATTTATTAGTTAATGTTGGAGCAAAGTCTTTTTTACAAATGTTATATTTAATGTAAGCTTGCTTTCTCTATAAACAATAAACATTGTCTTAAAGTTTTCCATCCAGCAGGTCATATCCCCTCATGTGAGCAGCCCACTGATAATACATACATTTGAAGTAAATTTTAAATGCTGCAATATGTTCATTTAAATCTTGGTCTTTCATTATTTTCTTGCATATATATATCTATGTAGGTTTCTAAATATTTAACTCGTATAATTGTTGTCAGAATAGAATACATAATTCCATAATACCTTCATCATGATAAATGCACAATATGTATAGTCAGTGGGTGGTTGTCTTATCTTTTAGTGAAATTTACATGACTGGGTTAAATTTAATCTGCTGATGAAGATCATGTGCGTTTGTCAGATGTTGTTTTAAATATCAAGAATGAACTTTGATCTCAGCTGTGTGACTGTGTTTGTTTCTGTGAGGTGTCAGTCAGACGACGAGAGTCAGGCGTTCCTTTCAAAGTATTTATTCTGGAAGGTTGTAGGTTACACATGCTGTAGCTTTGTAGTTCAGTAATTCAGTTGTTTTTTTTTAGTGTGTGTGTGTGTGTGTGTGTGTGCGTGCGTGCGTGTTACATTGCATAACTATAATAATGCAGCACAATAATGAACACAATGCAAGGAAAATTATTTGAAATAATGATCAATTTAACAAATGATGATAGTTAAAGAATTTTACAAATAAGAGGAAAGGTGGGCGGCACGGTGGTTAGCACTCTCGCCTCACAGCAAGAGGGTTGCCGGTTTGATCCCGGGCGTGGGAGCCCTTCTGTGCGGAGTTTGCATGTTCTCCCCGTGTCAGCGTGGGTTCTCTCCGGGCACTCCGGCTTCCTCCCACAGTCCAAAGACATGCAGATTGGGGACTAGGTTAATTGGTAACCCTAAATTGTCCGTAGGTGTGAATGTGAGCGTGAATGGTTGTTTGTCTCTATGTGTCAGCCCTGTGATAGTCTGGCGACCTGTCCAGTGTGTACCCTGCCTCTCGCCCGATGTCCCCCCCCCGTGCCCCTCAAGAGGATGAATGAATGAAAGAGGAAAGGTTATTATGTCCGATGAAAGTTCACACTGCACTGAAGAGCTCAAATCAGGCTGTAGCTCATCGAACAGGAAACACAACACTTCAAGAAAAAATTTGCTGACATTGACAAGCTGCCCTCATGTGACAGAATAACAGGCTGACTTTATTCTCTAAGTATATTAAGACATATTTAAAAAAAACACAAAGGTTGACATTTAGGCGCTGGCTACACATTTACAATGATTTCTAAAAATGGATAATTTTTCTCCTCCTCTGTTCTGTCCACACAACCTTGATTTCACAAAATATCTCCGTACACACTACAACACAAAAATGACACCAAGCGCTCATCAGTGTCAGCCATCTTCTGCATTCTGCTGTTGTTGTGAAGATATTAAGGTGCACAGGCTGATGTTACCTATTTCAAAACCACAACTGGAGATCTCATCACCCTTACTTCCCCTTCAATTTAAGTACCAAGGAACTCATTTAAAACTACGAGTGATGCTCTTGTTGTGTGAAAATATTTCTTCCACTCCTCATCGACAACAATCGTCAGCGTTCCACAATCAGCTGCTTCAACCAGGCTGGATCTAAAGCCAGCAGGGTAGACTGCTCCATTCATCCATGAAGTGGTGGAGCAGTACTAAGTTTAAGTGTAAAGAAGTCATTAGACCAAACAGTGCTGACAAAACATAAACAAATCAATAGTCTGCCATTGAATGCTAGTTACACAAAGCAACAGTTGATATGTACAAATTGAGGAGATGGTGTCCTCCTTTCCTAAACACTCAGTTTTACACATCTACACAGATAAACAGCGGAGTTTTTAAAAATCTGCACCTCAAAAAGCATTTCTAAAAAATCTTAATTTTAGTGACCTAAAATTCTGTTTGTGTTTGGACAAGAGGCCAAATGGTATCTCTATACTTGTAGGCGGGGCCTTAGGTACGATGAAGTAGTGGCAGTAATTGACTAAATACTGATATTACTGATACACCAGGTAAAAGGTACACTCGATCGCTGTCTGACAGCAGCTTCAGTATATGTTAAAGCCACCTGAAGGCACCTCTGGGTTCTTATGTGCTGCAGATTACCAAACAAATTAAACTGTTGTACAGTGGATCTTAGATTCAGAGAGTCCGGGGCTCCAGGCAGTTGCCCACTTTGCCCCACTTTGCCCCACTTTGCTCTTTGCCCAGGTGGTAATCAAACCTCACTCAGAGGATGATACATTTGCTTTGGTATTTCTGTTTTAGTTCGTACATTTCTTGCTCATGCTTTTTCTTCAAGGTTTCTGTTTCTTCTTTCAGAGCTTTTTCTTTGTGACTTGAGAGGTTTTGTAACAGACTGTACTCTATGTCATGGCTCTCTTCATTCTCCCACATCTGTCGCTCATGCCTTTTCTTCAGTTCCTGTATTTCCTCCATGTGCTTCTCTACCAGTGCTGTAAAGTCCTTTGTGTATTTCTGTCTGAACTCATTGAACTCTTCAGCTTGTTTTCTGGCCTCCTCTTCATACTTCCTCTTCATTTCCTCCAGTTTTTTCTTATAGTTTTCCTCTAATTCTTTTCTCTCCTTCTCCTCTTGTTATCTTCTGATTCGATCTTCTTCTCTTCTTTTCTTCTCATCTTTTTCTCTTTCCTGCTCGTATTCTTCCTGGAGCCTTTTAAGTTTTGTTTGCTCCTCTTGTCGTCTCTGTTCATTGTGCTGATATTGTCTATCCCACCATTCTTGTCTTTGCTTCTCCCAGTTCTCTTTTTGCTTTCTCATCTCTTCTTTACTTTGCTCCAACTCTCTGTCGAGTTTTTGTTCCCAGTCCTGTCGTTGAATGTCTTCCTGCGCCTTCCTCTCCCTGTCCTCGTCTTCCCTCATTTCCTGTTCTTTCTTTCTCTCCTCACGCTCCTTGTTGATGTTTTCCTCCATTTCTTTAAGTTGTTTATCTCTCAGTTGTCTCTCCTTTTCAGTGTCTGCTCTCTGTTGTTCCATTCTTTTCTTCACTGCCTCCATTTCCTCCTCATGTTTTCTCTGAAGCTCCTCTCTCTGTTTCTTCATCTCTTCTTCCTTCTCCTTCAGGATTCTCTCCACTTCCTTCTGTATGGCTTCTTCCGCCTCTTTGAACATCTCTGAGGTGTAGCAGTTGCAGCCATTTTCCATCAGCATTCTGTTTGACTTCTTCAGCAGCTCTCTGACTTGTGTGCGGTCTGTCTGATTGTTGTTATTGAAGACCTGGTATCTTCCTCCACAGTCATTTATCAGCTTTTTCAAAAAGTCATCACAGTCTTCAATGTAACTCTCAATTGTTTTATTTTTCAGATCATCTCCTCTGGTGAAGATGATGATGATGAAATCTCCTGAATTCTTGCCAAAATATTTCTTGATCAGTTCCACAGAGTCTTTCTCCTCTTGTGTAAAGCGGCCGATCTGCAGCACTAGTAAGAACACGTGAGGTCCAGGAGACAACATGCTGATGCATTTTAAAAGCTCCTGTTGAACATCGTCATTGGACAGAGTCGTATCAAACAGGCCAGGAGTGTCGACCACAGCGACAGGTAGTCCATCAATCTCTCCTGTTGCTTTCTTACAAAACTTAGTGACAGACTTTGAGCTGGGAGTAGAAAGAAAATGTTCTTTGTCCAAAATGGTGTTTCCAGTTGCACTCTTCCCACTGCCAGTCTTCCCAATCAGCACCATCCTGAGACACTCTCTGCTCTGACTGATGTCATCAGTTCCCATCTCCTTTTTCTGTATTAGATCCCGCAGTTCAGCTTTAAGTCTTGAAACATTATCCAGCTGAGCCTTGGTGAACATCTTTACTGTGAAGCATCTGGAACCTCCAACTCTCATCTTTTCCACAGCATCCAACAGCTCTGGGATCTGCTGCTGGTCCTTAATGTTGAGAACAACATATCTTCCTCCACAGCTCTGACAGAGCTCCTGGATGTCTCTGTTCTCCTTCATAAAGTTAACAACAGCTGGAGCTGTAGGATCTGACTCCACAGTGAACAGGATCAAGGTGAAGTCATTAACTCGAGAGCTGAATGTGTTCCTGATGGTCTCTAACTCTTTCTTGTCTTTATCAGTGAGGGGACGCACAGGTAGGACCAGGATGAAGGCATGGACGCCCTCAGGATCACAGAGGGAGATACACCTGAATGATTCCTCCATCACTGCCTCCTGAGGTTTTCCATACAAGGCAGGCAGCTCCACCAGGGAAACCCAACGTCCACACACCTCTCCCTGATGTTTAACACACTCTGATGAGCTGGAGACTGAATGAAGCTCTGTCTGACCTAAAATGGCCTTGGCTGCTGAAGTCTTCCCTGCTCCTCTCCTCCCACACAGGACCAGGTTTAAAGCTGCTCTGATGTTTTTATTAGCCGTTTCTTCAATCCTCTCCATCAGTGATCTGTGGTTGTCTTCAGACATACTGTAGTATCTTCCTCCACAGTCTCTCAGGAGTTCATTAACAGTGACACTCATTTCACTCCTCTCCTCATGTGTCATGATGACCATCGAGTATTTAAAAGCATCTTGACCAAACAGATTCAGGATGAACTTCAGTGTTTGTCTGTTCTCCTCAGTGAACTCAGACGGCTTCACTAACAGCAGCAGAACATTTGGTCCAGGAGGACAAAGAGTCAAACAGTTCATCACCTCTCTTCTCACGGCCTCCTCAGACAAACTGAAGATGTTTGGAGTTTTCACTACTGTTAATGGTTTTCCTCTCCACTCTCCACAGGTGGCCACACACTGCCTGGTTGGGGAAAGTCTTTGATGATGAAAACTTTGTTCCCCGATGATAAAGTTCCCAAGTCTTGTCTGTTTGTCTTCACTTTTTCCCAGCAGCACAGTCCTAAGTGCAGATGCTGTAAAAAAAAAAAAAAGATAGAAAGATAAAAGAAAGAAAGATAAAATTATAAAGCTGAAATCACAATACTTTGCTCACATCAAATCAAATCAGGCTTTAACTGTCATCTCAAAAAAACTACAACAGTAATGCAGGTAAAACGAAACAGTGCTTGCGGGGGGACGTTCCAACACTGAATTAATGAAAACTAATACCATAAAATGGACATCAGTGAAATACAATAAAACCCTAACTATCCAGCAATAAATCACAAACTAAAAGTCTAGTATGACACTCACACATCATACATCAGCAATTACTATTTTCAGAAAAAGTGACAATTGGCATTTAAAGTGACCATCTGCAGTGCTGTGCAGTATGTATAAGGTGTATGGAATGGAGAGTCTATGAAGTGATCTCCTCACCTATATCCTGAGTCAGTTTTGTGGTTGAATTCATGGTGTCTACATTTTGTCAAAATATTATAAGTCACATGTCATTCACATTTAATCTGTCTTTAAATTTGTATTTAAAATACTCGATCTCCTGCAAATTCTGTTCATATACAGCTGTTTTTATTAGAAATTTCATTTTAGAAAAAATAATGGTGGTCAGAAACATTAAGTTAAAACGACTGTACAGCAGCGATCAGTGCCATTACAGGAGATACTGCTCTGTCCACACAGAGTGGTGAATGTGGAGGATGGGAATGTACAGTTTGTGTTAGTCTTAAATGATTGCATATATGTGCAATATAAACATTTAGACATTATTTTTAAGAAAAGGCAGCATCACATCTCCTCTAAAATGTATTTTGCAAATGGGAAGTAGCTACATTGGACAAAAAATTTAAACATTACATAATATAACAAAGATAATCCATCTACCTGACAGGTGTGGCATGTCAAGATGTTGATCAAACAGCATAATTATCTCTCAGGTGTGCCTTTTGATGGTCTCAATAGGACACTCTAAAATGTGCAGTTTTATCTTGAAAAACAGTCATTTGCTAGAATTTTTACACCACCATTTGCCCAACGCAATACGGAACATCTCTTTCACATTGAGTTGATCAGGTTGTTGATAATGGTCTGTTGAATGTTGGCCCATTCGTCTTTAATGGCTGTGTGCAGTTGCAGGGTATTGGCAGGAATTTAAACAAGGTGTTGGACACACTGATCCAGAGCATCCTATACATGCTCAGTGGGTGACATGTCTGGTGAGGATGCAGGTCATGCAAGAACTGGGATGTTATCATCTTTCAGGAATTGTGTACAGATCTTTGCAACATAGGACTGTGCATTATCATGTTGCAATGTGGGACCGTGCATTATCGTGCTGCAACGTGGGGCCATGCATTATCATGCTGCAATGTGAGATCACAGTGGGTTTCAGGATCTTATCACGGTATCTCTGTGCATTCTAACTTTCCATCAATAAAATGCACCTGTGTTCGTTGTCCATAGTTCATACCAGCCCAAACCACAACCCCACCGCCACCATAGGGCACTCTGTTCACACAGTAGGGCTGTCAAAAGCACCATGAAATTGAGTTCTAATATTTTCGAATTAATTTAGTAGAGTTCAAATAATATTCAAATTTATTATTATTTTATTTTATTTTATTTAAAAAAAAATTTTTTTTACAAAAAAAAAAAAAACACAAAAAGTAACATGCTTATTGCTGGCGCAATATGAACGTGACACTCGGATGAAAACACCCAATCCAACCTCACTGAAGTGCCAGGTATGATCAACTTCTGCCTCGTTATTTGAGCAATGTTTGGATACTTCAGTGCGCCTGTAGTTTTCCACCACATGAGTGGATCCTGGTCAGCTCGTAGTGGTGTCTCATTCTGGTAACATTTCATCTATTCTTCAAAAAAGGTAGACAGGGAGGCAGCAGGTGCAACACTCTCCCTGTATGTCTCCCCGAACAGGTCACACATCGCGGACAGCGCAGTGGGTGGTGTTGGCGCAGCGGGGCTTCTCCGTCGGCGCCTCTCCCTCCATCGCTGCGTCCCTCTCTGGCCCGGCTTGAGCGCAAGCCATCTCTGCCCGAACGGAATTCACCGTGATATACAACATTATTAATAGTAATAATTAATTATTAATGATATTCGAATTATCAAATTTAGGTTTGAACTTATAAAAAAAATATATATATTTGAATATATTTCAACTTCGATTTTTTTTGACAGCCCTATCACACAGTGGCATTAGCAACCTGCCCATCCACACTCCGCCACACATCTGCCCAGTGCAGTGTATACCTGAATTCAACTGTGAAGAGAACACCTCTCCAAAGTACCACATGCCATTGATGGTTGCAAACCTAAGTCAGTTTTGATAAAGCACTGTTGGGTCAGATCCAGGATGACAAGCAAGCATGAGCTTTCCTGACACAGTTTCTGACAGTTTGTGCAAAATATCTTAGGTCAACTCACTCGAACTTCGTCACAATCAACGTTTGGTCATGGACTTTCCATGTTGACATATGACATGCAAGGTACCCTGGGTGTGTTGGTTGTAGACGTTCTAGAACACCGTCTCAACTTCAGCCTGTTACATGCATTGTCTGTTTTCAAAATACACTTCTGTTTTCACAGTAAATGTACAGTTTGCATAGTCTCTTCAAAATACATGCACTCGGTACAACACCTTTTTTCCTTCAACAACAAATGCACATATTTACGTTTAGCCAATACACACGTGGTTTAGGGAAAAGAACAGGGTTTGGCTTTACAATTTTAGAGGAAGTGAACACCGTCCTCACAGATGAAAGTTGGTGTTTGTTGGACCCATCCACCACCCTTTCCGTCTGCCCTACTCTAATTTCCATGGCTTGAACTGAAGTTGTTGTCCCAGCGCGTTTCCCCCCAATGCTGCCAGGCTGGCCGTGTATTATGCTGATCTGAAAGGACGACTTTTTTTTTCTGTGTCTGACGCCATAAGTCACTGATTAAGCGCAGGTTTTCAAAGACTTCGAACTGAGACCAGGTTGCTTTGGTTTTGTAAATCATTTGTCACAACACTTGGTTCCAAGTGGCTATTCTCAGACAATCTTGCAAGTGAAGATGATAAATGTGGAGGTCCTGAGCTAGTGTTGATACCTGTGTTCTGTGGTTGTGAGGCTGGATGGATGTACTGCCAAATTCATAGAAACAATGTTGGAGATGGCTTATGGTAGTGAAGCGAACGTTTACTGTAGTTCACAGGTAACAACTCTGGTGGACATTCCGGCATTGAGCTCGCCAATGGCGCGCTCCATCTGTGGCATTGTGTTGTGTTATCAAACTGCACATTCTAGTGTGTCTGTGACCATCCCAATACACAGCTGTATAGTAATCATGTTGTTTAATCAGCATCTTGATAGGCCACATCTGTCAGGCGGATGGACTATCTTGGAAAGGGAGAATTGCTCACTAACATGGATTTTAACAGGTTTGCGACCAAAAATAGAGATAAATATATCTATTGAGTGCATAAAAAAGTCTCTGATCTTAAACCTGTAAGAAATGGAAGCAAAAACAAAAGTATTGCATTTAAATTTTGTTCAGTATATTTTGCTCCATTGAATTTCAGTGGTAATTGTGTGGAATTGTGTTTGGGATTACGCTGGAGAAGAGATGTCACTAAAATCTATTTTCAAAATTATGATTTGCATTGAGATGAATTTACTTACATTGAGTCTGTGTTTTCTCTGCAAGTTGCGGAGTGATCTTTTTAACCACACGCAGCCCTGTAAAAATATGTCATCATTAATTTGCAGATTCAAGTTCTATTTTAATCAAGGACTGTATGAACAAAGTTTGGCTTGGCAGAAATGTTACTGCACTTACCAGCAGCTTTTACAGCATCCATGATAGAGATCTGTGTTCCTCTTTGTTTCAGGCTTTGATGATCACCTGGTAGAGCAGGTGTTGCATCCTCAAACACATCACAGCTCACATGCTCTCCATTGTTCTCCTTTGCAGTTTGACCCAATCGTGTTAACAGCTCTGGACGTTCAAGGTTCTTCTGCTTCAGGTATCTGTATCTACACATTCTGATCATGTCTTTTAATGGAGGGTGTGTCATGTATTTTTTCTTTACACCTGAGCTCTCCTCTCTGGGTGTTGTTATCAAAACCAACACATGATCAAATGATCGATCACTGAACTTTCCAAGGATCCTATCCAGCTTCACTTTTTGTTTCTCAGTGAAATCTTCAGGCTGTAGAACCAGCAGGAACACATGAGGTCCAGGATCAGAGTATCTCACACAGTTTTCTACATGTTCTGACAGTTTGTTTTCAGAGATGTTGGGATGCAGCAGATCTGGAGTGTTGATCAGAACTATTTCTTTGTCCTTTATCTGTCTTCTTTCTGTCAGACAGCAGTCTGGTTCTTCTTCAGTGTTGAACTTAGTCTCTCCCAGTATGAAGTTCCCCACTGAACTCCTCTGAGACCAGCTGTTCCCCAGCAGAACAACCCTCAGCTCACACACTGTGGAAAACAAACATTCAGAAAAGGCAAAAAAAAAATCCAACAACAATTAAATGCAGACTAGCATTTATTCATTTTTAGTTTATTCAGTGTTGAATTTCAGGGGTTTATTTACTGATCGATTTTACCTATGAAGTAATGTACTGAAATACTCTAAAATAGCAGGATAACATAATTCAGTTAAACTCACTGTTAGGTGGCAGCCATTTAAAGCTGCTACTGCGCTGCCGAGGATGCGGATCGTCTGTGATAGTGAGGACACAGCATTTGTTTACTTAATCATGTAAATCACACTTAATCTGTGTAATCTCTAATAACACATGCATTTATAGTAGACCTTCTTAAGACAGTAACGCTGTCATTATTCAAATGTCCAGTGCAGTCTTTTAAAACTCTGACTCAGAGAGCAGGTGTAGTGCAAACTGTGTTTGTTCACCCTGAGCTGAGGGAAAACATGACTTTTGACTTGTGACTCTGTGAATTTAACCTGCTCTCTGGCAGGCTTTCATCTACAAACCCTGAGTGTGTGTCTGTCCCCTTCCTGACAGAGACAGACACACAGTAACATTTCTTCATTGATACAGTTTGTATCGAAGTGCGAATCAAAGAGCATTAATTAGCGGAGGATTACTGTATGTCCAGATCAAAATCCTGGTTGAACATTAGTTTGTTACTCAGCACCATTGAAGTTACCTCCTTTATGCCCTCACATTAAAATATCACACATAATCAAGTTACCCCTTTATTTCCATAGATAGGTATGTATCTGTATGTTTTCATTATCGTCATAGCAAGATTGACTCAACCCAGAGCAAAGGTAGGCAACCTGCAACTCTGGAGCCACATGCTGCTCTTTACACCCTCTCCACTGGCTCCCTGTGGCTTGGACATAAAATTATATGGAAATGAATAAGTGTTATTTTGTAACATTCAGATTTTTATTTGTCATTATTTTGGGCCCAGAGTGATTATTGCATTCTACAGCTGTAAATATGTGTAGCCTATACATCGAATTAAAAAGCACTTTAATGTTTCATCAACTAAAATGTCATACGTCTACGACCTTGTGTTTTTTCTGAATTTACGACTTTTGCTGAACTCAAGTAACAGTGGTTAACCTAGAGTCTCTCTAGCAAGGCTAGCTATGGATTCCAAATCCAAAAAAGGATTTCACAGCATTTCAGTGACTGTGTTTAAATTTACTATGTTTGTTAAAGTAGCTGAAATAAAGCCACTGAAGACTGTGGAGCCAAGGATTCTAATAGATGTCTGAAATTTAAATTCTACTCTATTTCAAACTCCACGCCTTTTCAAGTGCTCATCACCAAACACATTATTACTGGATCTGATTGAGAGCTTACAGTCATGTCTTTATGTCTGTGATCTATAAAATCTTTAACTATATTTTCCATCTTCAGTTATTGGCTCCTGTGTTTTGTCCCCATCAGATTAAAGCTGAGCAAATACATTCAAAATGTAATGAAGGCTACAGCTAATGATGAATTAATGGACAACACTGAATAAAACTTCATTATGTTCATTTACTGATACTTTTCGTCGCTTTGACTCAGACTCTTTGTTTTATTTTTTTTAAGATAAATTTGCTCTGTTCACATATACATGCATTATTATCTCTACATCCACTTGATCAAAATGGAGGCCCTGACTTTCATTTACCTGTTGCCATGGTGAATTGTCATATCAGAGCTGCATTAATGATGTTTTTTGTTTTTTTTTTACAGCTCACAGGCTTAACTCAGAGTGAACATTCTCAGCGTTGATTGAACTGACTCTGGTCAGCTGATCTGGAACCAAAACTCAGACAGGCAAATTGTGATTTGTGATATTGGGCTTTATAAATAAAATTGAATTGAATTGAATTGCTTTTGCTCAGATTGTTTGCTTTCACTCAGATATTGCTGCTTTCATGGAATTCCTGCTCTCTAACTTGAGTCTTCCCCTCGCTCTCAAGCTCCCTTTGTGCACTTATGAATTGTCTGCTCTCAGATCTGCACTCGGCTCCTGGATTTTTTTGTGCAACGATCCTGTGTAGTGTTAAGCAATGAAGTGATCCCTGCCTCATTGTGGGCGTGTTCGCTCTACTTCTCAGAGCAGCCCGTACAGATGGTTAATCTTTGACCAGGTTCATGCACTCCTGCACTCCAGGGCTTTATTAAATGCCCTTCATTTGCTGTCTTTACAGCTTCTGGCATAAAATCAGTGTACTGGAGTATAAAACATCTCACTTAATGCTACAGCGTGATTACTCTTAATTCAGATACATATTTAGCTGCTCATAATTTCTCTGGGTTTGACTGCCCTGTTAGGACATACACTGATCAGCTACAACATCAAAACCGCTGACAGATGAAGTTAGTAACACTGATCATCTCATTACAACGTAATGTTCTGCTGGGAAACCTTTGGTCCTGGGGTTGGTTGTCCAAAACACCTTCAGGTAAGATTTTCTTTAAAGTTCTAGTTAAGGATTCCCTTAAAATAAAGTCAGTTGCACAAAAACCCCTTATGTCTTCTCCTTAAGGTTTCCTTAAAATGCTCACTTAAGTATTTTTTTGTTTTAACTTTGACTTGGCCTTATACCTAAAGCAGGATTTATGCTAAATGAGTTTTTCCTTAACAAAGGCAACCTTTTAAGGGATTATGTTCAACTGTAAAGTCTCTCAGCTAAGGAGAAATGAAACCTTAAGTGTTATACTTAAGGCGAAAACTTAAGGCATTTTGTGTCTGACATGCCCCACCCACCCAAACACTGTTGCAGACCTTGGTACCAAACACTGCAGGATGATGATGCACATAGGCTTCATCTCTCCCGTTTGTCCTGATTCACATTTACAAAAAGCTTCAGACATTTACACTGGAAACTGTGCAGTACAAATACTTTATTTTACTGGTAACAGTAGCAGGAGTAGAAGGTTCAGTGCCTTGCTCAAAGGCACATGGACAGCACAGATGAAAGGCACATTCAACTTCTTACTAACATGTTAACATTTTGCAAAAAACTGTTGGAAAAAAGGGTGTACTTCTGATCTGTAACATTGACAGGAAGTGACCGCCATGAGACGGCGCATCATCTCTAGTCAACAACTCTCTGTACTTCTGATCTGTAACGTTGACAGGAAGTGACCGCCATGAGACGGCGTATCATCTCTAGTCAACAACTCTCTGTGCTTCTGATCTGTAACGTTGACAGGAAGTGACCGCCATGAGACGGTGCATCATCTCTAGTCAACAACTCTCTGTGCTTCTGATCTGTAACGTTGACAGGAAGTGACCGCCATGAGACGGTGCATCATCTCTAGTCAACAACTCTCTGTGCTTCTGATCTGTAACGTTGACAGGAAGTGATTCATGTCAGGGTTTTTGCTTTGTCACTGACCTTTGACTTGGACATTAGTACAGTAATTTACTTAATAAACCGGAAGAGTTGAATAGCTCCATTGAAGAGTATTAAAATACAACTTTTGAAATTCATTTATAAATTAGTGAATTAAATAAATCAGTAAACAGTAAAACATATGTTCAGAAGACATCCTGTAGCATTTGACAGCTTTTGTAGCGTTGTTTATTTTCTCTTAATACGTGAACATGGTGTACGTACCTGCAGTTGATGCTGTTATGTTGAATTGTTGATCTGCCATAGGTTTTTTTTTTTTAATTAATTAGAAGTGAGAATCTCCATTCAGTTGTTGTGGTCATAGTTACAAGCTGTGACTGGTCCACATGATCAGCAGGATTGGATCATCAACACACATCAGAGGATTGTTTAAATCAGTCTGCAGAAGGAAACACAGGAATGTTGCATTTATTACAAGAAATACCTGAGAGACCAGAAATATACTGTGGGCACTGTAAAGACTTAAATGACTGGTCTTGTCAAATGAATTTGTAAAATGTAAAAACTTGTACACGAATGTGTGTGGGTTATTTTTGATGCTGAGTTACACAGCACTATAATGTCAGGTGAGACTTTTATACCAGCACCACAAAGTATAGTTACAATTAAGTCAATGCACACACAAGTCTTTATCTCAACAAAAAACTGAATATTTAATGGACAAACAACTCAGAACATATCTTTTTAATGTAGCCTACAACTTACAGCTGTTTTTATCTTTGATGATTATCTCTCATTTTAATTGAATGATAGTTGTATAGTTTTTAGGGCTGCCCCCTGACTAATAATTTTCCTAGTGGACCATCAGTCCTCATCAGGGTCCATCAGTGGACCGACAGTCCTCATCAGGGTCCATCAGTGGACCAACAGTCCTCATCAGGGTCCATCAGTGGACCAACAGTCCTCATCAGGGTCCATCAGTGGACCAACAGTCCTCATCAGGGTCCATCAGTGGACTAGTCTCCTGCATGTTTCTGATATGAATGTAATGATTAAATGATATATTTTGGTGGTTTGAGTTGAAGGTGTGAGAAAGAATAGTATCAGTAACATTGTTAACACTGTGCTACATTACAGAGAAATACAAACCGTACTAATGAACCTTCATTAATATAGGCCTATATTTTATCTCCAAGTGCACGTCACACACTGAGCGAGCCGCCTGTTAATGACGCTGTGGGCTAATGGGCATGTAGCTACTTCCATGTTTCACATGATACGTCATGTTTGTAGTCGACCAATGAAGATGAGTTTACATATCACCTTGGGTTCGTCCTTCACCTTCTCAAAATGATCCCACACTTTGGATTTCCTGCCCAACATGTTATTAACTAGCCTGTGGAATAACCGCAGGTACCAGCCCTGGAAATTAGGGGCCGTACACATCTTTAACCGCTTGAAAAACTCGAGGTTGGGCGCTCAGAGCTACTCTTGTGCCTATTTTGTGCCAGCTTTCAAAAGTGCAGTGGTAGGTTGCATTTGAGGTTGCTAAGCAACCTTAACAAACATCATATAGCCTATTTAAATGGAATCTGAGTGCAGAGCTGATCTTCATGCAGAAAACAGCAACTACACGATTCTGCAGATGATTCCACAGATGAGGAGCTGCATACACAAATGCTCACTTGCCAAACTCTGCGAACCCTCGATACAGACAATAAAAAAATTCTGAGAAAAGAGAGCAGAGCCATTTTCAATTTTTTGCTTAATGTACACACATAAATATGCTGGATGTAGGTCAAGAATAGCTTCATAAACAAGAGAATGCCAATGAAAATTTTGAAAAATTGTAAGGAGAGCCAGCTAATCCGAGCATGCAAAGACAAGACTGGGAGGGTGCATTTATATATAATACATCCCATAATCAAGCACAGTCAAGACAACACATCGTCACTGTGACCTCATCACATGTCCATGTTTGGTCATGGACTTTCCACGTCCACATACGATGTGCAAGGTACTCTGAGTGTGTTGGTTGTTGACGTTCTGGGACACTGCTGGTACAACACGGCAAATCGACGTTTATTTTCCTTCAACAACAAACACATGGTGGGGTTTAAGCAACAAAAACAAGTGGTTAGGTTTAGAAAAAACATCAGGATTTGGCTTTGAACACCACTCTCTTGGATGACAGTCTGTGTTTGTTGGACCCATCCACCACCCCTCCCACCTGCCCCACTAGGACTGTTGTCCTGCTGCATTTTCCCCTGACACCGCCTAGCACAGTTAAACTATAACAGCAACCAGCCACACATCACACCGATGTGAAGGATGCCTATGTTCGATGGTTGCTGACGCCGCAAGTCACTGCCCACGTGTCGGATTTTGATGATTCAATGATTAAGGAAGGAGAATGCAAACATGTTACCCAGACTTCAGTCCACATACGCAAACAATCACAAACCAGTCTTTTTCTTTGGCCAAGAATGAGAAGCAGTTTCTATTTCTAAAATAAAAACCCAATTTCAGCTTCAGCCTTTTCCCAAGTAGTGCAATGTGTTTCTTAAAAGGAAAACTAACAACTAATGCCCAGGTATTTGTAAGATGAAACACACTCTATGCTCTTGTTCTGAAGTGTCACAGTAGTCGGGAGATTTGAAAGCTGCACATTGGCTTTTGTGAATAACATGCAGATAGGCTGTTACTTACATTGTAAAGCTGAAATGTGTTTTGCGGCTCCAGACAGATAATTTATTTAATTTTTTGGCCAAAATGGCTCTTTGATTGTAAAGCTTGCCACCCCTGCTCAAGTCTATTACATTTCAAAAGTAACCTTCCCAACACTGCTCTGTTATGTAAATGTAATAAAGATGTTTCCTTCTTTCAGCATAATGAAAAGGAGCCAAAACAAGTTCAGGCAGAGTCTCATGTAACACTGCTGCATACTACTTGTTGTGTGCCCATCTTAATACTCAATAAGACAGTGCATTCCGAACCTAATCATGACATGAAGCTTCTTCTTTTACTTGCTTTATTGTCCAAACCGACAGTAACACTTCAAGTCTGCCTTGCACGCCTCCGGGCTGCGGTCATTCATTCTCCTCCTGTTTTTCTCCCCATGTGACCTACGTAACCCAATACATGACACTACTCTATGAAAACCTGTCTGCTGTTGTCTCGACAATTCACTTAAGCCAAAAAGTGACTTTAACATTTGTCACAGTCGTCTCCTTAATCTCATTTCAGAGAGATTTTAAAGGTGAAACATATCAGGAGCTCTCAGTTCAGACAGAAACAAAAATCATCACATTTCTTGCAGACTGTTGGATGGGCATTGTCTGTTTCAGCTTCAGACATTGTTAACTTGACTGGTTATAACCACATACTACACATGCAACTCACTGCAAATCCATCAGCAGCTCTGACGGACCACTCTAACTTAAATTACTCTTATTTTTCTTTGTTTAGTTTAAGTCTACTTCACTCACCTGCTTCAATCCATGCTGCGACACAGTCATCGGTGAAAGTGAAAGTAAAAAATAGTCACGGGGTAAGGTTTAAAAAAACAGAAGTCTCCCAGCAGCCAAAAAGTATTCTTAAAGCTACAAACACTGGAGGTGTTACTGTGAAGTTCAGGAACAACCTGTTTGTTTGAGGGTCTCATTTACAAATAGTTGTTTTACATATTACTTTTTAAAACTTGACTCTGAGCACATTCTGATATTTAGGATGATATGTTTACCAGGCCATATGCTGTATATTGTGAATCGTTAGAATGTTAGAATTAAATGCATATGATCAACATCAGTTAAAATATTTCATCTGACTTCCTCTTCACAAAGATGATTTTAAATACCCAAACAGCTGGTGTAATTTTCTGTTGAAGCTGATTCAGTCTTCTGGGCTAAAAATGTATTTTTAAAGAAATAAAATAAATCTGATTTATAAAATGTTTTGATCATATTTTATTTTTTAAAACTTTGCCCTTTGCCTGAAAACAGCCTCGTCCCAAACAAAAATTAACAACTTAAAAAAACAAAAAGAAACAAGTGTTAAAAGTTGTCAAAATCTAAAACTAACAGTATGTACTGTTAACATCGCTGTAAAAATGTAGTTTCTATAAAGGCGTGAATGCTGCTCTTGGTATACTTTCTATTTTTTGATAAATTCATAAAATAATAGGCCTATTGTTATCTGGTGTCTCTCAACCATAACAGGTCAACTCCCCATACAGCTGATTAAATAATCTTGTATTTAATTTAACAAAAATCATTCAACTTTTCCTTCATATTTTGTAACGCTGTGACGTTTTCAGTGCCTGATGGAGTCGACAAAATTCAAGTCTTGGAGGTTGGCAGATTAAAGGGTTTAAGCGTCAAGACTTTGGTCTTTTAAAAAATATGTTCACAGCTAAATTGAAGAATTAAAATTTTAAAAATTAACACAGAATAATGTTTTGTCTCAGTGATCAAGAATGAGTGAACCTATGACGCTCCACATACATGAAACGCATACAAATATTCATTAAAAACACAACTCTTAACTGTTCACAGATCATTAAAGTTAAATCATAAAACATGTGAACTTGCGTGTGAGTTATAAAGCTTTCGTCAGTTATGTAAGCTCCTAATGACGTTGGCCTCCTGTTGCTGAGCTGCTGCTGCAGAGGACTTTGGTATTTATGAGCCTGAGGCCGCCACCTGGACTTCTTCAGAAAGCTGCTGATGCATGTTGGGACATTTTCAGAGTTTTAGATGTTGTGGTGGGTCCTGAGCAGTAATTATCCCTCAACATTTCTCTTTGGTTTTGACTCCTTAAAGAAAAAGGAGAGATAATTATTTTGTTTCTGTGTTCAGCTGTAAAATCTCAAAATCTTAAAAGTAGAATTGTGATAGTGAAGAAAATTTTCTGTCGTTCTGTCAGTCAAATCATTTTGTTCCAAAAGGTTGTCATTATCATTTCTGACATACACCTCCAGGCTCCCATGTGCAATCAGTACGACCTTCATGACACATCACCTCGAGTCAGAGAGAAGTTGATTAAACGCTGCGCTGATATTTGAGGCAGGTTTTTGTTGTGTTGTATAAAAGAGTGCTGCAGGGGTTAGGCTTATTTATCCGCCATTGGCTTTTTTTATTACTGCAGAGAATAAACAAACAATGACATATGTTCGTCAGTAATTAGCTGTTTATGCCCCCCCAACTCCCTACCATCCTTAAGTGGATTCTAACTCTGTGGAAACACTTCATGCTGGTATTAAAGGCTCCAAATCCTGCACAACTGTTTTTGCCCTCGCAGCTTCTTTACAAAAAAATGCCTGTAAACAACAACAACAACAACATCGCATTTCAGGCAGAAACAGTCCCAAATACAGCCCACACAATTTTGGAGGGACTGGTAAATGTTGACAGCACAGTGTAATGGCTATAGATTAATCACACTATCTGTGTTTAGTTTAGATCCCTATAAGCCTGGCTTTCATTCTGCAGTTCTTCCTGCCACCAGATAGGATCTCTCGGGAAAATAAAGGCTCAATTTACATCTAAAAGGAAGTGCTTTGACCAAAACAGGAAGAGGACAGCCCTTTAGTTTTCACCGGTAGCTATTGGTAACCATCCCTAGTTACCAAAGAGTAAGTTCATTGCAGTTACTGTCCCCAGTAGAGGAAATGACAGACGTGGAACGACTGAAGTCACAGTAGAAACTGTTGTAGAGTCTCGGGAAGCAATCTGCTCGTCTTTGTGGCAGTAACAATGACACTACTAGAATATGTTGAGTGAGGGGGTGAAAGTTTAAAAGCTGTCTCTTTCCATTTTAAGAATTATTGTTTCTAAAAGTCATTTTACAGCTGCAAACATCTCATCCACAAATACCATCATTTTCAAGTTATTATTTTTCCTCTATTAAAAAAAAAAGTCTTGATTTTAATCCCGCCTACAAAGCTCTGATTGGCTTGGTTGTTTCCCACCTTAAAAACTTTGGAGACGTGGGGAGTTATTCGACCTCTATGGGAGCTGCAGGTCAGTAAGAACCAGCCAAGATTTTAGGAAAATGGGTCAGTGTTTGCTCACTGTGGTCTGTTGTTAGAGCCAGGTCTCACTCTGAAGTCGTTGAAATCTGGCGCTTGGGCAGTGACTTGCAGCGCCAGAAACTAACGAAAAAAAGTGTTCTTTAATGTCGGCATGATACGCAGACGATTGCTGCTATAATTTAACAACTGGTACAGGCGGCGATGGATGGGTCCAACAAACACTGACTTTCACCCGAGAGAGCGGTACTCGCGTCCTGTAAGATTATGAAGCCAAACCCTGTTCTGTTTTTCTAAACTCAACCACATGTTTTTGTTGTTGAAGGAAAAAAAATGTCAATTCACAGAGTTGTACCGACGTAGTGCTTTTATTTTGAAAGAGACTGTATGCAAACTGTACATTTCCTGTGAAAACAGAAGTGTATTTTGAAAACAGACAATGCATGTAACAGGCTGACATTGACACGGCGTCCCAGAACGTCAACAACCAACACACCCAGGGTACCTTGGACGTCATATGTGGACGTGGAAAGTCCATGACCAAACGTGGACATGTGACGAGGTCACAGTGAGGATGTGTTGGGATTTAAGCTGTCACAGAGATTAAAGTTGCCTATTGCTGTATAAATAAAGCTATAGGTTCTTTAAAACATGCAGATTTATTAAATCTGGGCCTGTTAGTTTGCGGAGTTTCCACCCGTGTATAACAGATCCAGATGTTTTCTCTTCCAGTTTTAAGCCTGTTAATGAGAAACACGGAGGTGCAGCTGGGACTGAAAGTGTTAAAGGTCCTGAAACCTGTGGATTTTATAGATCTGTCTCCTGCAGCTCCACAGGGTTTTACATGTTCATCACATCTGGGTCAGGAGGCCCCACATGCCTGAAGCGGCGGGACAGGCGTCAGCATGTCTGCCGTCAGGACGGACACATAAATACCTGGACGTCCAGATGCTGCTTTCACTGTCAGAGTGTCTGCAGGTGGACGACAGAAGAGGAGGCCAAGAGACAACAACATGGTCCCACTGAGGCTGGTCGCCTTCGGCTGTGAGTATCTGCTTCAGTCAGACATGCAGTGTTTTATAACTGTGTGTGTGTTTTTGTTTTTATTTATAGCATTTATATTTTATACCCTGGACGTCCTGGCTGCTTTACTCAGAATGCAAACTGTTAAATCTGAATCTGAGTTTTGAGTCTGTTCAAGACTCACGCCCAGAAACAAGAGTTGTTATGTAGTATATTATAAATGTCATGATGCAGATTTATCCCCTGAACACTGTGGTCCCACAGTGTGACGCATGAACAGGGGAAAAAAGAAGAAATTTAAACAACTGTGATTTCTTTGTCTTGTTCTACTTCATGGTTCAAACTGTATTTAATTTGCTGATGCTGGAGTGTTCACATGATTCCTCACTGATTATTTAAATGTTCAGTGTCAGAAGTTTCTCAAATTTTTCAACAAAGTCGCTAATTTTTATTGATAGTACGTTTCTAGATCTCTTGTTTGGCAAAAACATTTGGCATTCATCTTTTGGCATTTCTACACATGTTGACATTTACAAAATATTTTTAGGAAGTAAAGATGAACTGATTCCAGGTTGTGATGTTTGTGTATGTCAGCTGCAGTCAAATCTTCACAACAGCTTTTATTTCCATCCCAATCGACAGCTAAACAATACAAATACAAATTACACAACACTATAACACATCATAAATCACTGACATAGACACACAGTAGTAAAAGGAAGGATACACAAGAAAACAAATCAACAACAACACAAACAACTGAAAACAACTAAATAATGATGTCATTATCAGCCTTCTTCTAAACCTGGCTTGGATCTTAATAGTCAATATTATCGGTCATTCAGTTTCACCTGCCTTGTAGCGATGATGTCTTCAAACATAAAGAAATGTTTTAAGAAGGACAGAAAACATTCGATTCAAAAATAAATCTTTTCCTAATAATATAAAAGTTTTTAAAATACTAACAACCATTTCTCAGTTCACTGAGCATTATTGTTTGAGGGCACATGGATAAAATAATCAAACTTCACGCCATCTTTTTTTAGTCGTCCTAAAAGTTGCCATGTGAGGACAGACACAAAACAAATGCAACATATCTTCAGTTTCAGATTCACAGAATCAACAGTTTCCATGCTGGTCCATTCCCCGAGCAAAAGGCATTTTTCTTGTCGGCAGTATTTTGTATAGAATTTTTCATTGAAGATAATGTGACTTAATAAATAAGATCATACACCTGTCTCCATGGCATCGGGACATCACACATCCCCTCCCAGTACAACTGAAACTTTTCTGGCTTCTTGTTTAAATCATGAGCCCTCAAAAATATGTGTGCATAAAAGCTGATCTTTTTTCTTCCAAGCCAAAGACAGGTTTTCACGGCAGGTTCACACAGCAACAGTTTGCCTCCAACAACAAGCTCACATGGTTGGGTTTTGGAAAAAAGAACGAGTTGGCTTTATAATCTTACGGGCGTGAACACCACTCTCCTGGGTGAAAGTCAGTGTTTGTTGGACCCATCCATTACCACTCCCGCCCCGCTTGGACTTTTGCCGTCTTGACTTTTGTTCTTGTCCTGCTGCGTTTCACCCTGACGCCATCGAGCGCCGTTAAACTATAACAGCGACCGGTTGTGTTTCATGCCGACAATAAAGGATGGCTTTATTCATCAGTGTCTGACGCTGCAAGTCACTGCTTAAGCGCCGGATTTTGACGACTCCGGACTGAACCGGGGTGCAAATGTAGAAATATTTAATTTGTGATATCTGCATATATTGATGTTGTGAATTGCTGCAGTGTTAAAATGTCAAAATGATAAAAGTTGTAACTCTGATGAACTTGTGTTTTCAGTGCTGGCTGCAGCTTGGTACTTCACTCGTGCGGCTGGTAAGTTTTTAATCAGACTGACTCTTGAAGTTACAGTGGACGGTCGTGTTTACATCATTTGTAAAAATGTTCTTGAATCAGTAGCTGAGTCTCAGTTCAGGGGCTGCAGCGTTTCAAGGATGTGGCCTTTGCGGTCGCCGTCAGCCGTGTTCTTTGAAGACCGCATCAGCCAAATCAAACGGTCTCTGAAATGGGACGGTCTGGTCTGCGGAGGACTTCCTGGTTGCATCACCAGTTGTTCTCACCCCAACCCTTTGGAGTTACTGTTACCTAGCAACCAGCCGCGCTTGACGAAAGCAGGAGTAAGCTAGTAAGGTAGTTAGCCCTAAATCATGGACCCAGAGATTGTTATTATACATATGTTTTATTTAATACTTGAGGAGATGATTCACCGCTGGAGACGCCGCCGTCTGATATATTTCAGGCTGATGGAGCGTTTTCAAGTAAACTTATGAAATTCAGATTGTTTAAGCTGTGTGCTTTTAGCTAACGTAATGCTAACAACAGTTAACCGTTATCTAGTCAACAACTGTTAGTTAACTTCACTTAATATATTCATCACCAGCACGCAATGCATCCTGGGATAGGTTGGGCCACGAAGGATTCATCCGTTGCATCCTCCAAATTCTGGGAAAGAAGGCTGCATGTCTCTGCCGCATCTGAAGGAGCCTTCGAAACTGGACGGCCTTGGTCGCGCCGATGTGACGCAATCGGTCTTCGAAGGCTGCAGCCCCTGAACTGAGACACAGCTGATGACTTTGAGTTTGGTGTTAATGTTTTTCTCTTTTGACTTAATGTTCTTTCTCACAGTTTAATAACAAATGAATCTTCATGCTGTTTAAAATCAAAATATCAGAAGTTTCAGTTTCCTGGAGAAGTTTGACTCTAAATACAAAATAAGTGCGTCATAAAGAACGTGGTGACAGAGACACGTACTTGTTTTTCTTGAGAGGCCGCTGTGTTTGAATAGTTGTTGTTTTATTGTGGATTTTTGTATCACATGTGTTTTAAATGTGTCTTGATTGGCTGCTGCTTCAGCCAGGCCTATGATGGAAGAGATTTTCAGTCTCAGTCGGACTTCCTGGTTAAATAAAAATAAATAAATAAAATAAGGTCGAAGAGACTCAAGAAAACACTGACCAGTTAATGATGATGATAATGATGTCTGACCTGTGTGTGTTCTGACAGAGGGAGAGGTCATCTACGCCTGCTTCAATGAAACTGCTGAGATGTCATGTGGTAAGAAAACACAGAAACTCTCATCCTCCTGTCCTTCATTGTTCCATCACCACTTTGTGACTTTCACTGAACCTAACAGTAGCTTTAAAAATCACAAGGAAACTCAAAGGTTCTTTGTTTTATAGTTTGAATCCTCTGAAGTGGGGTTGTATGGAGTATTTATTTATAGTGAGTGTATTACCTGCAGTAGATGTCAGACAACACGCCACCAGTTTGAGCAAGCAGGCTGGAGTCTGACGTGGAAGCTAAAGGTGCTCTCACACCTGTCCTGTTTGCTTTGGTCTTATCAAACTCCAGTTGGTTTGTCCCCTCAGTGCAGTTTATTGTGCAGGTGTGAACACACCAAAACAACCGGACCGAGACCTTCTTGAAGAGGTGGTCTCAGTCAGGTTCCAAAGGAACTCTGGTGCGGTTGGTTTGTGGTGAGAAGGTGTTACGACCTGGATGTGAAGCAACTGCAGTCACATGACACATTGTTTGGGTTAAACATGAGCATGTTACAGTCCTGGAGGATTATTAATGTGCACCTCCTCCTGTACTGCCTTAATATGCACATTCAGCACATCCAATGCATCAAAACATTGTTTTCTAGTTGGAGCCGCGCCTCGTTTTCAAACTGTATGGTTTGACTAAAATGAACAATGACAGCAATATAGTCCACGATGAGCAGCGCTAAAATCAACCTGCGTAGTTGTCCCTCCATTGTGACATTAGAAAGTGTCACATTTATCTTGCAAGTGTACTCTTCTTCAACGTTTGCTTTACTTCCTGGATTTTTCCCACATGGAAATTCTGACCAATCAAGAGCGGCTTTCTCACACAAGGCATTTGATCTGGTCCTCTTGTAAATGCTGCCGTGAGAACACGAACCAACTCTAGGCAATTATACAACTTTGGAACAACATGAGTCCCTGATTCAGACCAAAGGAGACCACTCTAGGGCTGACAGCAGCCTCAGTAATGTGCTGCTGTGGACAGGTCAGCAGAAAAAAGTATTTTGCCACCTAAAAAAAATCAACATCAGTTTAAGTTTATACTGTACTAAGTATTTTCATTACTTATACTTTTCTTCAGACAGCCTGTTTCACAGGGGAATCTGTTGTTGGCTTCAGTTCCTCATCGATGCTCTCGTCAAAGCCACACTCCTTTAACCAAATCAGTAATTTTACATCACTGAACACAGGAGCTGCTGGTCTACTGCTGCTTTGATCTCTTGGTGTTACTATGTGACTTTGGTGAATCTGAACAAACACTTTAAAACATCAAAGTCCCACAACACCACAAACAACACTGACTATGGACAAGTACCTTTAAATCAGACACCTCTCAGCTCACCTCTGGCCTGTTGGACATACGTGAATAACAAATGGCACAGAGCTCCTGCTCCTCCTCAAAGTGAACTGGACTGAATTAACAAACTTAACCCGATTTGTGACTTCTGCTAAAAGGTTTACAGATAAAACTTGGTGTTATTTTTCTGACCCTTCCTTCTCTCTCCTCCTCCTGCAGATGCTGGCGCGAAGATAAAGCTGGATCACATCCTGTATAAAGTTGGGGTGGGGACGAGGTGCGGGGAGGGAAAACGCTACCCAGACGACGGACCGGACAACTACTGCTCCTTCCCCTGGGCTGAGATGGTGGTGGAGGATCTGTAAGAGAAACACTTCTCTGTACATTAATGTATCTATTGTTTTGTCCACTTGAGGGCAGAAGAGCTCCACAGCACCAAAACCTGAGCTGGTGATTGTTGAACAGTGGAAAGTTTTATTTTGTTTCTGTCGACTGAATGAAGTGTGTTTAATGATGATAAAATGACTGTTGATCTAAATGGAGTCTGGTGGGTTTGGTGACGGTGATTTCAGGGCTGTTTCTGGTTAAACACAAAGCTCTATCTATGTAGGGATCCTTTCATGATGATTGTTGTTTTAGAAATTATGTTTTCACTTCTTTACTACTGCCACAATTTGTTTAACTTTGAAAACCCCAAATAATACAGTCCTCACCTCCTGATAGAGGTGGTCTTAAGGGTTAAAAAAATACATAATGATGTCACTAAACTGAACAAATAAAAAGACGACAAAAAGACAAGCAAGCGAGAGAAGGATGAGGAGGATAACATTAGCAGAGTCTATGTGGATTTTAGGATCGTCAGGATGAGGTGTCGTGACTTTAACCGTCTGTAGTGCAGAGAAAATAATTCAGAAAGGATTTAAACACGTGGACGTCACTCCATCATGAGAGTGAGAGGAAAACAAAAACCAGTGACTCAGACTGGTTTATTAACAGCAGTGTCACTGGCCTCAGCTGCTCACTGTGTCTCACTGACAGTCAGGACTTCCTGATGTGCAGTTCTCACCTTTATAATGTCTGTCTGTCTGTCTGTCTGTCTGTCTGTCTGTCTCCAGCTGTGGGAACAAGAGGTCCTGTCAGGTCCCCGTCACTGAGCTGGTGTTTGGTGAATACCCCTGTAAGGAGCAGACCAGGTACCTGGAGGTGTCCTACACCTGCGCCACACCTCCTCCTCCTCCTCCTCCTCCTCCTCCTCCAGCTCCAATCAAACCTGACTGTACGTACACACACACACACACACACACACACAAATCTATATGTTGACATGATACATTTACTGCTCCCTGAGGCCTCATCCAGGCTCAACATTAGATTCGTGCACAGACACAGAGCCTTCTCTGTGAAGTGTAGTCCCAGTGACAAAGACATTTTAAAATGGTGGAACATAACAAATCCATATTAAAGTAAAAATAATTCTCCGACCACACGTCGAGATGTGCTGCAGAGGCTAACAATGTACGGCTGTGGACGGGGTCAGCAGCAAGACGTATTTTAGACACCTAATAAAAGTCTCATCTAAAAATATCTACAACAGTTTGAGTGTGAACTTCACTGAGAGTATTGTCACGGCTTTATGTTAACGTCCAACAGTCCTCAGTGTCCTACGTTAGTTATGTTGTTTTATAATGATTCTATTAATTATTTTTTATCTGTATTTGTCTTATTGCTATTTCCCTGATTGTTTTTAGATCTTATTTTATTCTATATTTTATCCTGCATGTTATTTTGAATCTTGAATTATTTTTATATTTATTAGCAACACTGTAGTTTTGACCTTGTTTTATCTTCTATTATTGTTTTAAATTATTATTGTATGACAGTGTGCATTAGTTTCCCACTCCTTTTTCTGATTTAACTTTATTATTCTCTGTATTTTTCAATCAAAATGTGAAGCACTTTGAATGACATTAATTTGTTTTGAAAGATGCTATATAAATAAAATTTGATTGATTGACTGATCCAGACTCCATTGAGAAAACCAGTGATTTAACCTCAGTGAACGCAGGAGCTGCTGGTCGACTGCTGCCTCCATCTGTTAGTGTGTTTGTGTCACTGTGTGACTTTGCTGAATCTGAATTAAACCTTTAAAACACCAAAGCCACACAGTTACAAAAACTGTGAAGAAGAGAGAGATGTAAAGGCTTAATTTTCCAGTTGGAAATCAGTCTGACATTAAAGTGAAGCTGTGAAAATACTCTCAATACATCACACACTGTAACTGATACACTTTGTTGCTGCCCCGTCCACAGCAGGACGTCACTGAGCTTCATGTCAGACTCCAGCCTGCTTCTCCAAAGTCACATCTACAGCGTGTAAAACACTGACTCTGGATCAGTGCCTCACGCAGCCCCACAACAAAATAAAGAACTGAACCTTTAAATTAGAGCTTTTGTTTGTCACTGTATATTAAATCAAATTTTTTTCACATCTTACAATAAACTGTAATTTTTATTCTGTATTTATTCTTTTTTTTCATCTGATCTTATTTTAATTCTGTTTTACTTTGTTACACCTTAAATTTGTTTTATTGTTGAAAGGTGCATTTTGTTTTCCTTCCTCTTTCCAAATTAAACTCTTGTGACTCAGCGCCCCCTGCTGGCAGAGTGCACACACAGCACAGATAGTTTCTCTCATCTCTGTGTGTGTGTGTCTTTATCTGCAGGTAAGGACACATCAACCGATGAAGCCTGATGCTTTTAAAACTGTCTCGCTCATCACTGTGGACAAGAACAGTACGAGAGGACGCCGCCTTCATTTCTAACATGTGACTGAGTTTAAACGTCGTGCTGTGACGTCACATCTGTTCTTTGATATTTGACATCTGAACATAAAGTTTGTGAAGAGGAGGCTGAAGTGTCTGTAAAACATGTCTGAGCTTATTTTCTCCAATAAAATCAAAGTTTTTCTCTGACATCATTTATTATGTGAAGTTTGTTACTGTCACTGTTCAGCTGACACAAGACCTGAAGCCGCTGTACATGTGATAACACCGTTACAACGGGTAGAAATGTTGATCTTCACTCTGCTGTTTAATATCAGTGTTGTTCTTGGTCACAGCAGGAGATTGATTCTTCTTTTCATTAATATTGTGTTGAACTCTTTTGTTTTTTTGAACAGTGTCACCTGGTGTTAGCAAATTAAATTCTTTTCAAACACATCAAATCTATATTCCTTGACTGACTTGGCCCTCTTAGAGAAGGTTTATCTCTTTCCTGACGGCAAAAGTGGAAACTCAGCATAGAGAGGGTGATGTGGGTCTGCCAAGATGACCTTTGCCCTCTGAATGGCTCTTGCTTGATAAACACCGTCAAGCTGCTGCAAGCTAGTGCCAGTGATTTTTTGGCAAAAGATACTTCCCAGACGATTTTTATTAGTGATGCTGAGGTTCCCATACCAGCAAATCACTGCACAAGTTAATATCGACCCAATAAAATATGAATAGAACATTTTTAAAAGCGATCTGTGAACATTAAAGTCCCTCAGCTTCCTTAAGAAGAACAGTCTCTGATTGGCTTTTTTGCAGATATAGTCAGTGTTTATCATCCAAGATGGTGCCCAAGTACTTGTACTGGCTTACAATCTCCACAGCTGTACCATTAATGAAAGTGAGTTTTAGGGCAGGTGGGTTCTTCTGAAAATCGATCAGCATTTCTTTAGTTTTACTGACGTTTAGTTGTAAGCATGAATTATTGCACCATTCAATGAAACTGTTCATAACAGGGCCATGACCCCTTCATGGTCCTGCAGGACGCTGACAATAACCGAATCATCTGCAGACTTTACAATGAATCTTGAATCATCTGTGCTCTGGCAATCATTTGTGTACAGCACAGAAAGTAAGGGTGACAAGACACACCCTTGGGATGAGCCTGTAGAGCATGTTGTGCCACTGACCCGAGTTCTTTGCGACCTCATAGTCAGGAAGTCAACCAGCCAACATATAGTGTCAAAGTCAAAGCCAGGTATTTCAGAGAGCCTGTTAGCTAAAATATACTGTAGGGCTGCATACAGTTCAAAGCTGATGAGAAATCAACAAAGCACAAACGAGCATGAGCCCTCATTCCTTCCAAGTGTCCAACAACCTGATTTAGCAAAGTTGCCCTTTCGCTGTTGATCAGCGAATTGGAGAGGGTCAATAACACTTTGAGTCATCGACAAAAGGCTCCGCTTCATGATGCGTTCAAATCCTTTCATTACTAAAGAAGTAGGTGCCACTGGTCGATAATCATTCAGCGTTTTTGGCCACAGGGACAACGATGGATTCTTTCCATAATGTGGGAACTTTCTTTAGAGATAAAGAGAGCTGGAAAATGAATGTGAAAACGTCACTCAAAAATGGAGCATGATTTTTAAGAAGCTGACCACTGATCCCATCAGGCACACAACTTTTCCTCACGTTAGTTTTTTCAAATATTTTTGTGACCTCAAATTCATCAATAAGGATCTGGCTGCCGTCTGAAGAAACCCTGAATTCAGTCAGTTTATCGGAGTGATTTTATGTGTCAAATCTCACATAGAATTGGTTTAACTCGTCTGCCAGGACAGAGTCAGGCTTGTCAGGATTGAAAAGTTCCCTCTTTTTATCCTGCATTTCCACCATAGATTGAATTGCTCTCCAGGCGTTGTGGGAGTTGCCATTCCTAAGTTCATCCTCTACTTTGCCTTTAAATTTCATTTTGGCCAGCTTTATTTCCTTCTTCACCAGTCTTTGGGCCTCTTTTTGTTGGTGAATGTCTCTTTGGTGGAAAGCTAGCTTTTTCTGATTTAAAATATTCTTAAGAGATTTAGTGACCCAAGGTTTATTATTTGGGTATATTGTAACTGTCTTCCTGGGGATGATCATTTGCTCACAAAAGGAAATGTATCCTGATACAGTGTCTGTCAGCTCAAGTCAGTGCCGGTTGGTGCAAGAAAGACTATTATGGTCTGAAGAGCCAAGTGACGCAATTGCATAATATTTATATGCCCCTTTTATGGTGCCATAGCACAAGTCCAGCACCTTACCAGGTCTTGTTGGACAGGTTACATACTGGTAAAGGTGACCAAGGGCCTTTTTGAGACTGCAAGTATTGAAATCACCAAGTATGAAATGTGGGGCATCAGAGGAAATGCTTTGGAAACAGGGCACAAGTTCAACAATAGTGGATGCTCCATCCTTAATGTTGGCTCTGGATGAATACAGACCACTATAATAAAAACCTGTGGGATTTCCTGTGGTAAGTAAAACGGGCGCAGTGAAACAGACAGCAGCTCAATGTGAGGGCTACAGATAGATTCCTTATCATCACAGTCTTGCACAGCAGGAGTTGACCTACAAGCACACGCCCCCTCCCTGTGTTGTGCCAGTCAGCTGTGCGTCACGATCAAGCCGGATAGGTTGACTGAAGCCATCAATACTATACTCCTGACTCGAGTCGTGTTCCTTTAGCCAAGCTTCAGTGCGATAACACAGGCAGTTTTATAATCAGGTGTGCACTTCACGCACACCTGAAGCTCGTCGATTTTGTTCCTGCGCGTTTCCAAGGATAACAGAGGGAAGTGACAAGCGGCGCAGCCCGAGTTTGCGTTGCCTCTGGCGCACCCCTGCTCTCCGTCCACGCGTCCTCCCTCGTACCGCAGTCAGCCGGCCATGTTTCCGTTCCGTTCTGTCCGCATCCACCTTTGCATATCTCTGCTGGAATGCCGACAGGTGACATCCGAGCGACAGAGCAATTACCACATTGGATAAAGAAGTCACGGCTGTATTGAAGTCTGCGGGGCTGGATGTCTTATTGAAAGTTTATCAGTCCATCAAGTCCATAAACACGACACTCATGAAAAAACTCATAAAATCCACGATGACTCCACGCAGTTAAAAGGTTTGAGAGAAAACACCATTCGTGCGACAGACTGGTTAAAATCCACGTTTAAAAACAGTGAAATCAGTGAGACGGTGCTGTGTTGATGTGTGGTCGATCTCTGAGTTGATTATAAGATGCTTGTTTGTTTGTTTGTTTGTTTGTTTACTGACTGACTGAAATGACAGCAGAAATTATATTTCAGAGTTTCTGTGTGAATAAAAAGATTCAAAGTCATGATTTCAGTTCATTTATAAGAGTATTGATAAATAAGTAATTTAATTCATTGATGATCTTCATGATTATTAGTCATAAATACTGACTGGTTTTGTTCAGAATCAAAATCTAGATTAAAAAAATTAAATATTATTACATGTATAATTTA